TCAAGACCCGGAGGCATTAACCGGTTCCCCTCCAGTTTTACATTTGGAAGGAACTTGCTGGCTTCCCCTAACCCTCCAGAATGCCCAAGACTATGCATCTCAGAAAGTGAATCTGAAACCAAACCAGCATCTGATAGAGACTGAACAAGAGAAGATTGGACATTTGAGGTTTCTGAAGGATCAAACACCCAGTCTGTGTTTGCAGCAATAAAGCCATTACTTCTATGACAACTATGTGGGGAATCATCATCTGAGTTCTCAAAGCTTTGGTGCACAGAAAGAGGGAGTTGGTTGGGTGAAGGAGGGTCCTCCTGATTAAGGACATCATAGAAAGATTTTTCAGCAGCTTGGAGGGCCAAACAGTCCTGCAACATGCAGGTCTTACCCTCCAGGTCTTCTTCTAGAAGAATATCACTGACGTACTTGAGCACAGGGTGATTGTAATCACTAAAGTCAATACTATCTCCATCTGAACCAGAGCTCAAAGAAGTACTTGAATCACTAGGGTGCTCCAAATTGGTTGAAAGGCGAACTGGACTGGTGGATTCTTGATTTACTTGGAACCCATTCACAAGATTCTGATTAGAATCGAGTGAAGCTGAGCCATGCCCAAAATTAAATCTTTCCATGGAAAGATAATATCTTTCAAGAAGGGTATCCATGAAAACAATCTATCGACCAATTTACCTGATCAGATTTTTAATTTTTCAAGAAACCCAATTGTGATATGAAATTTTGGAATAGAAGGCAAATTGAAATGAAGATTGGAATCTCATGTGATGACTATTGAAAATGATTGAACAAAATGCAGAAACCTCGAGAATAATTAAGAAATATAGCAGAGTACCTCAGACCTGAAGAAAATCATAATTACCAGACAGCTTTAATGCATGGGAGAATATGCTTTTCCTCTTAGAAAAACAGAAGCTGGAGGAGATCCATCTTCATAGCAATGAACCTTCTGGGAAGGCCTTGTTGAAGTGGGACAAAGCCAGTCTCCACTTTTCGATTACATACCACATAGGATTATGACAAAAAGAAAAACTACATAGGATAACCAATGAAGTTTTGACATCTAGTGTTTTCAAGTTTGTGGAATAGTCAAGAGGGCCATCCATTCAAGATGTACACCACAAACAAACCGACAAAGTTCTTAACTATTTTTCTGCGTTCCCATTATAGTTATCTGTTCAAATTAATGTCGGTAAGACTGAAGATTGACAAGTTGGTTTATGTGAAATGGAAAATATATATATATATATATATAATTATGGCAGTTCCTCTCTTCTCATGCTTATCTCCTAAATCAAACATCACATGTTGGTTCTATTATAACTTTGACAAGTCCCCATCTTGTTTTAGTCTTCCCTTTGCAATTATGGTTTTCTTTTTCTTTTTCTTTTTCTTTTTATTATGTTAGGAGGAAAGACAACCCACCGAATTTCGATCCTGGATGTCGCGGGGGAAGAGGAAGCCGCCACCACCACTACTGTGGTGATGTGGTAGACGTGGAATCTGCCCATTGGCAGGATGAGCATATATATTGAATCACCTTCCATTTGAATTTTCCTGCTGGGAGGTCCAAATAAGACCATCTATAAGATTGAGACGTTTACCCAAATTTGTTGTCCAAGGGAGTTGGTTTTATACAGAGAGCATGGTTACCAAGAAAAGTTCTCGAAGGGCACCAGATTATTTACTTGTGCAGAAAGCATCCCGAGGACAAAGACAAAAGCAGAAGCAGCTATCTAAATAAATGCAAATAAAATAAAGTTTTATAATGATAGCAAACAAAAATGGGTGATGTTGTTTGGATGGACAGTGACTGGCGGGTTAATTAGTCAAAACATTGTATTTCTCCAACAACAATTGTCTTATGGTGGACCAAGATTCATCGAACTTCACAATTTTAAACAACAAAAGTTGGTTCCACCACAGCATTGACGAGACTTTCTACATTGGGGGCTATTTGTTCTGTTTTTCTTATGGAAGGAAATTTAAACTCATCACTTTTTTGTGTGGAAATAATCTAGACTCATTAGAGCATCTACCATCACTACTTTAACCCAAGTATACTCTCACCATTCTTCTTAAAATATATTCAGAAATTAAAAGTAATTTTAATCAAATCCATTTTTGGAATACTAAAAAAAAATCTAATAATTGATACTATTTTTAAGGAAATTGAAAATAATTTTAAAGTCCACAAATTTATTTAAGATAAGTAAATATAATTAATTATGAAATTAATTAAAATATTTAAATACTAATTATTTATTAAATAAAAACTCATGAATATAATTAAATAAGGCTAAGATATTACTTAATTGCAAATATTAAACTAAACAAACTAATTTTGTATATAAAAAATTAAAAAACAAAGTCTACAAAATAATTTAAAATGCTTAATTACTATGTATTAAGTAATTTATAAAATTAGAACAATATTTAAATACTAATAATTCACTAAAGCAATAATAATTAAAATATAATTACTAATTAAAGTAATTAAAAAAGGCTATAATCAAAAAAGGCTTAAATATTAATATATTTAGTATAGCCGCCCGGCTATATACTTTAACGATATAGTCACGCGGCTATATTAAATATATTAATATTTAAAGAGTACAGCCGTGTGACTATACTTGTTAAATATTACTATATTTTTAAAAGTATAGGTTTTATTATTAGAATTTCGATCTCAATATACGGTTAGTATGACATAACCGGACCTAAACCTAGCTAGTTGAGTGTGCCTTGAGATAGATTTTAACAGGTGGTTTGTTGTCAGAAGACCTATTGGTTAAGTGATCTCCTTGTTTTGCTTATTGATCCACATATGAATTTGGTTCATCTTCTTCATTACCTATCATTCTCCTGTTACAAAATTAGTTTGTTTAGTTAAAAATTTGTAGTTAAGTAATATCTTAGTCTTATTTAATTATATTAATTATTATTTATATTTTAATTATACTTTATGGAATGAATAATTAGTATTTAAGTATTTTAATTAATTATATTTACTTATCTTAAATAATTTTGTGGACTTAATCTTGGGTTGTATATTAATTAAACACCTCCAGAAGGCAGTGGAGAACATGCATGCAGAGTATTCTGCAGGAGCCATTAACGGGAAAGTATTGTTACATGCAATTTTTATGGAAAGCACCTGTCATTTCCATGCAAGTCATTTTTCTGAGAAAATGGAAGCTGAATTAGGCATCAGAGCATTCATATTCTAGCAATAATCTTTACCTATATATTTACTTATTTTCCTACTGAGAAACTAATGAGCTAGAAGTTTAGAAAGTTACCTGTTGAGGGAACCCACGGGTCCCCATCCGGGACGAGATTAACAGCTTCGCAGCGCGGTGAAGAGGCACGGGGTCTCTTTCTGCCTGCTACATTTTTTGTTTTAAGAAAGAAGTGAGAATGCAAGATGAATGAAATTAACTAAGAACGTTTTTTTAAATCATGAACTGAACTGTTGAGAATGTATTAAACCCATTAAAGCCCATGCAGTTTGGACTAGGTTTGATCTTCCTTCAAGTGGTTTATATTTCTGCATAACAAAAGACCAGCTGCTTAGAGAAGAAACAGATTTCTATGCCAAGAGACTTTTTTTAGACAAAACTATATCTCAGAGGAGAAAGCTCTTTCATGGACCAATAATAATACCAGTTCCATTTTCTCCATAAGTAAGGGGTTTTTACTTGTTTCAACAACAAAGATTGGCTATACAGGTTTCATATTAATGTGTGGCTAACAGATACATCTACGAAAACCAACACGATTTTAGTTAAAGAGCATCATTTAGCTGGTCCTTTGAAAATGTTATTAGCAATGCACAGGAAGAGTTTTACACACTGTTATTAGAATCAGAAGAAAATGTTTTGTATGGAAGTCTCCCACTGCACAAGCAAATAAACATGTGTTGGTGAACACTGAACATCATCATCTCCGTAGGTTTGGGTCATCTCAGTTCTCTCTCAGAAAAAATTGCTTTCTCATAATGATATAGCTTTCTCAGAAAATATATAGCTTTTCTTAATCTTCTGTTGAGCTTGAATTAATTGTCAATCAGAAAAGACAATATGCCATTTCTTTTTTACCAACTTTATAGTACAGGTGGGGGCAACCTATCTCCAAGTTGCCAAGAAAATATTTCCCATAACCAACAACAAATGACAGAAAATGACAGTCCGGGCTCCTACGGAGGAGGGCCTAAATCATCACTCACACATATCTTATCTAGAGCAGCGAATGAACCTGCAGCATCCATTAAAACTAGAAGAGAGGAGGGAGACAATAAGTAGAGTGACAAATTTACCCCCTTCAAAATCGCACGATATGAATTTTGACAGAAAATTTGACAAAATTGACGGTACGCCTAATGTTGCGACATTTTGAAACAATGACCAAAAGGTTAAAAGAAAAGAGGGGCAAATGCTCGGTGAGTTTCAGTGAGAAGATTTTAGTATGAAAGTGAAAACAAGAACAGAGACCAATAAATCAGAGCCACAACTGTCTGTAACAAACATCCGAGAAAATTTCACAAGGATTATGAGCCCCCTTTCAAAGATAGTCAGAGAGTCAGTAGCTTTGGAAGTAATTCAGAAATTCTGGAAGTAATTTTATGCATTAGCACAATAAAGTAGAGATGCTATTCATACCCAAAAAAAAAACCATGAGCAACACAACAGAAAACTTGTGAACAAAACAACTGATCAATAGAAGACAAATGAACACGCAATATACAATGAATTCCGTAATGCCACATCTTGAAACATCTGATAAAACAAACACAAGACTTCCCAAAAGACTGTACAAGATTCAGAATGAAAATTTCCCCTTATTACAACTACTGATGGAAAGCAAATCAAGAAAGGCGGAATTTCATTTGATTGCAAATCCAACAAGAAAGGCGGAATGTCATTTTATCAGACACCCTTGCATCACAATTCTCAAAGAAATTCAAATAGGCATGCTTTACAAGATTCCTATGCTGGAACCCAACAAGAAGAAGCATAGACAATTCGACCCTTCCATCCTTGAAGCATCCAATCACTGTCTTGATCAATTACAAAATCTTTGTGGTACCATGCCCTCACCTTATCCTTAAAGATCTTCAGCATATCTTGGTCCAATGGCAGCGGCCGCAAACCAGCCCTTGTACAACGAAGCTGCCACTGCTTGTATGTCTCAGGCCTCTCAACCCTTTCTAAGCCCTCACATGCTATTACATTCATAGCCTCCCGGCCATAAAACTCTCTCTCAAACATCAACCTCTCTTCATTGTCACGGGCTATATTAATATCAAACGCGTCATACAGGGCAGAGAAGTGGAAGAGAGCCTCCCGAAATCGAGTGACAAAGAAAGGGGCATTGTAGGAACCATTGACAATGGTATGGACAAAAATATCTGGTTTCATCCTTCTGATTAGTTTTAGAACGGAATCCCTTGGACAGTTCACTTCAACTGTCTCATCAAGTAGGTTCTTGAAGCGTAACATACAATTCACTGCAAGCACCTCATTCCTTTCAGTCTTGAGATCCTCTAGTTTGATAGATTCCCAATTCTGTGATGCTATGGCATTATACTCAAAGGTACATTAAAACGCTCACAATATTTTGCCAGGCGGCGTCCAGTCTCTTCAATCCAATCTGCTGGACGAAACCCAGGTTGGGGAACCTCTATCCCCGTTATGCGGAGCTTGGGAGGTCCACCAGGTCTCTTCGAAAGATGATGGATAAGCATTGGCCACTGAAAACCATAGAGGATACCAAAATCCACAATATGAAGGGTTGTTGCTTTCTCAGCCATCTTCAAAATCATCTTGTTTTTGAAGAAAATTGATATTCTCTTGAAAGGGCAAGCTGAAAGATGAACTTGGTAAGCTTTCAAAGTATCAACCACTGATATCCTTTTGGAAGCAAGGGAAACATAAAACATCCGTGTTCCAGTGTCAGTGCCAGCCATACGAGCCTCAAGAGCATTTGCGAAAAAGTGAGCCAACCTTTGAGATCCATCACCATCAGGAGAAGAGTGCTGCCTAACCTGCTTTAGTAGTTCACTAGTGGTCCTAAAATCATTGCTAGATACAGCCTGTGCACATAAGATCAGGAGATTCCTTAAATCGACAGTTTCCTTCTTCTTTCCCTGTTTCTTAGCACGAGCTTTCCCACCATTACCATTAGACTCTTGTGGATGTCCACTTGGCTGCAAAGCCTGGCTTGCTTCATTCTGAAGAGCAACATTGTCACATGGAGACTCATTATTTCCTCCCGTGCAAAGCAACACCCTGTCAAACATCTCAGATAATTCACTCTCTTGTATATAAACTGCAGACTGCTTGCTACTCCTCTCTTCTTCAGGGGCAACATCTCCCCTCTCATGATTCTTCCTTCCCCATGACCCATTAGGTGAGTTCTTCCTCTCACTCTTTTCCTTCTTCCTCTCACTCTTTTCCTTCTTGACAATAACTGTCGGAGCATGTCGTTTCACTTTTGGATACGTTGTGTTGCTTTCCAGATTAATAACCAACTGATTATCTTTTGGAAGGAACTTACTAGCTTCCTCTAACCCTCTATTGAACTGCAAGATAGATTCACTATCTGTAAATATATTCTGAGCCAGAAACTCATTTACAGAAGAGCCCTGCAGTGCATTGTCAACATGCAGCTCGTCTCCAACACTAGTCAGGTCATTTGTCAGAGGAACAGACAACTGTGAATTGGGATGTGAATTAAACTGGAAAGTGTGGTCATTGGGAAGGGAAGTTTGTGACAAAAAGGGTTTTTGGTCTACCGGATCGCCAAGCCATGGAGGATCAACCGAGTTGCTTGTACCAGGACTAGCACTACTATTACTATTACTACCACTACAATCACTACAGTTTCCAGAAAAATTACCATCGGGACTCTCAACATTTTGATCAATATAAAGGGGTTGCTGATTAGGTGAAGAAGGGTACTTTTGACCAAGAGCATCATAGAATGATTTCTCAGTCACACGAAGACCCAATGGATCATAGAACATGCAGGGTTTTTTCTCTATGTTCTCTTCCATAAGAATCTGGTTTATGAACTTGAAAACAGTTTCAGAGTAGTCATTGTCATCAGAGGAAGAGTCTCCTCCGGGGCTCACTGTAGTCATGGGAGGAGCAAATGAGACTCCATCTGGACTCAAACTAGTTGATGGAACAAATGACTCCCCATCTGAGCTCACACTAATTGAAGGAACAAAATTACCAGGTTCTAAATCAGGTGATGGAAGTGAAAAATGATTATCCAAAAAGTTAAGATCCGGAGAGAGCTGGTTAAATTGGTATTCATTTATGAGATTTGGGAATTGAGTTGAATTGGGTAAGAAGGGCTCGGCATCAATATTGAAACCATTCGTGTAATCAGGGACTCCATTGATAGTTGGATCCATAATCACAAGGAAACTCTAACTCTAAAAAGTCTAAACCCTTCTTAAACTTAAAAACACCACCAAAAAAGAAAGGGAGTGATGAAAATTCAAGCTAAAATCTCAGACGCAACATGAGAAGGAAAGAATTAAACGAATTAGATTGAAGAAGCTCAAAAACCCATCAGATTTTTGCTCAGGAAGAAGCAAAGGGTTATAAGTTCAAGCAACAAGATTAAGCAAAGAACGAACCTCTACTGAAAGGAAGACAAACAAGTTGAACAGAGAAGGGGTGTGCCGTACCTTGAAGAAGAGCGTAGAGATTTGGTTTGGGACTGAAAAGGGTCAACCTTGGGGAAAACTAGAACTTGAAGGAGGGGTTTTGTGCCTTATATAAGCAAGGCAGAGAGAGAGTCACGAACTTTCTGGGAACGCCGCTTTATGAGATGAAATGGGATGGGACTTGGGCATGTCAGTCAGGGAGTCCTGAGGTTCTTTTGTTACCGGGTAAAGCAATCTGCTGTCTGCCATCTGGTCGTGCACGTGTTTGACTATGCAACCATCGATTTTGTCCCATTCTTTCTCTTGTTTCATTTTCATCTTTTCTTTTCATATGTAATGATGCAGATGAAAGAAAAACGAAAAAGAATTACAATCAGTCGACAACGGCGTCTAGCCATAGTGGGAACCCTCTTTCCTCTTGGTTAAGGCTATCAACCTTATTTTTCCCAATTTCTCTAAAGGAATTAATCACATCTCCAAAGATGATGGTAATTAGAGCCAAAGAGGCCCCATTTCCAATAGCACTGATTGTACCAACATACATTAATTAACAGGTACTCCAAGGATTCAGCACAGGAGAAAAGCTTGTAAATATGGAACTGTTTTGGTGGCATCCTCCTTGCTCTTGCTTGTATCTTGTTGGTTGTTTTGAGAGTCTTCCACAGCTGAGTGGTCGTTTGATGTTTGCCGTGCCATGCTCCTTGATTACACCTCCATCTGCAGGATTTTCCTCAGCTATGTTTTTCACAACAATAGTAAAGCTGCTCCATTATTTTGGTTCTTGCTTTGCTAAATTCTTAAGGGATTTTCAAATAAAAGTAAGTTTAATGATCGTTATTGGGACAGTAAATTGGAATTTGTTAACTGATTTTGTTCAATAATCATCTCTTAGAGGAATTTTTTATTATTAATAACCTAATTTCGATGGATTAGTGTAGTGTGATAGAGTTTATTAGGGTATATCAAGGGTATTTTTGGTAGTTAAGTAGGGTGTACTTAGTTAATTTTACATTTTAATTTAAATATTATGGTGTACTTAAATTATAGAGTGGACTCAATTAATTTTAAGATTCGTTTAATAACACCCAAAAATATTTACAATCAGTCAATCAATACATCTTAAATAATTATATATAAAAAATTCACATCTTAAATAATATCAAGCGATTCTTCAAATTAAGTACAAGAGTCACGAATATGAAGAACAAAAACCATGCAATGATCAATTATATTAGTATGGTTTCATATCATGGTAATCTTGCTCCGCCAAAAGATGATTTAGTAGAAATCAAATCTAAATTATGAAACTGGTGAACATTTAGTTTAGTGACACCCGGAGAGGCTGAGGTTGACTTTCACGCGGTTGAAGAATATCCAACATGAGACTTATTTTCTTTTAGGTTGGAACTTTCCCGAATTGACATGGTCAAACTAGCTCAAGTCTACCGGGAATCTGAAAAGCCACCGGTTGCTCAACATTACTTGAGAACCAAGCCTCTATCTCTACAAGTCCATGTGGATGTGGTTGGTAATCTTGAAGAGGACGAATGTAATAGTCTACTTAATTAAGTAATCAATTTTCTTAAATAACATTAAAATTAGTGATCAGTGTGAGCTAATCAAGTGGAAAACAGTGCTGGATCAATAATACAAAACAGTGGGGGTCCACATCATGCATTGATTAACGTTGCCACTAATTATTTTAAGATAATAAAAAACAGATCTCGCTTCTTTATCCATCTGCTCATGTTTTGCCTTGGGCCACAAGAATTTGATCAAAACTCGTGCCGCTAGATTCTTTTTTTATTCACAGATGTGGTTTCTTTTTATCTTTTTCTGGCCAGCATGTCTGGATTGGATGTACCGTCGCATAATTGAGAGGTTGAAGGTCAATTTGTGTTAGGTTTTGTCTGGTAAAGTTTCTATACGTTCATGACTAATTCTTGCTTACATATCATGCCAAATGTAATTGGTTTCTCTCTTTGTCTTAGCATTACTCGACTTTTAACTAAAATATTGGGTTGAATAATAAAACTAAAGATATATAATAAAGGGAAATTTGTATAAATATCACTTAAACTTGTAGGCATGTGCATCATTATCATATGAATTTTAAATTTTTATTATTAACTGCCTAAACTTTAGAGAGTGTTGCAATATACCATATATGTCTTAATGCGTTAAACTTTCCGTTAAGTTTAAGGGCAATTCCGTCAATTCACTATAACTAAAAAACTTAACATTTTTACAATTAACATAATTTATAAATAATAATTAATTTTTATATATTTTCTTTATGAAAACCTAACCTAAATTATCCCACGGTTTCTCCCATCCCTTCCAACACTAATTTTCCCCCTTGCCCAGTAGACCCCTCTGCCATTTAACATCCTGCCTTTTGAGGATATGGATTTCATGGCTCATTCCAAACAGATTCTTCAAATCTCCAGATTAATTTGGCCTTCAATTATTTTATTTTATTTTATTCATAAAGTGAAGTTTCATTCAAACGTCAAAACGGATATACACGAAAACCCATATAAGAAAGTAGGGGTGGGCATTGGAACCGCAAAACCGTAAAACCGAACCAAACCAATCCGGAAAAAACCGAAAAAAACCGTGTTGACCGAAAAAGTCAAAAACCGAGAAAAATCCAAACCGAACCGGTTTAGACCGGTTCCGGTTCCGGTTTTCCACCCTTAGGAACCGGTCCAATCCGAACCGGTCCAATAAAATTAATATATATATATTTTTATATTATATTTGAAATTATATAAATATTTTTATACTTGGCTAAGTTTGATTGGGTGTCTTTGTAATTTTATATGCTTTATTAATGTATTATATAATGTGTATGTTTGACTAATGTTTTAATGGGTTTATGTTTTTTTTATGTAGATATTATGAGTTCATCCACACCTAGCACCATAGCTCCAACTACTTTTCAATGTTAGGAGGAATTTAATGAAGTTGGATTGAATTTGGGTTGTAATGTATATTTGAATTGAATTTGGGTTGTATTTGGCTAGTAATTTATTTTGGAACTTATTTTGTTGAAGTTTGATTGAATTTGGGTTGTAATTTATATGTTGAAGTTGGATTGAATTTGGATTGCATTTTTGTTGAAGTTTGATTGAATTTGGGTTGTAATTTATATGTTAAAGTTGGATTGAATTTGGATTGCATTTTTGTTAAAGTTAGATTCATTTTGATGCGTTGAAAGCTTGATAGAACCTCAAATTTGAGGTATGTTAGTATATAAATTCATTTTGGGCAGGTTTGTTTATTATTATTTTAAATAAAAAAAAAAAAAAAAAAAAAAAACGGAACCGTTGGATTCGAACCGAAACCGGATAGGTCCGGTTTGGTTCGGATTTCTGTATGGATATTGAGCAGAACCGGTCCAAACCGAACCGGATTGCACTATTGGATCAGGTTCCATTTTTCTCCAAGAACCGGTCCAAACCGAACCGTGCCCACCCCTATAAGAAAGAGCAACATATTACAAAAAACTTAATCATTAGGGGCAAGGAATCCATATCTAGACAGTACCATAACTAGTGAAAGAATAGGCTGATTAACCCATCTGAGTAGTGCACCCTCGAGTTGGCCTTCAACTCTTCAACAACTCACACCAAATATTTTATAGATTCAGTAGAGAGAGAGAGAGAGAGAGAGAGAGAGAGAGAGAGAGAGAGAGAGAGAGAGAGAGAGAGACAGAGACAGAGATACGAAAGTAGGGTGTAGCATGGGGTGGGGGGAGGAGGCTATTGGGCAATGTGGAAGAATTTGTATTGGAAGGGGTGGGGGACGATAATTAGATTAGCTTTTTTTTATTTAAAAAAAAATTAAAAATTAAAAATTGTTAGTTTTAAAAATATTAAGTTTTTTAGTTATAGTGAATCAACGGAATTGTCTTTAAATTTAACGGAAAGTTTAACGGAGTTAGACATCGGCGGTACATTTTAACACTCTCTAAAGTTTAGGTAGTTAATAATAAAAATTAAAAGTTCAAGTGGTAATAGTGCACATGTCTAAAAGTTCAGGTGGTATTTATGCAAATTTCTCAATAATAAATGTTTTACTTGAAAGAAATACAAATATTAGAATTTAAGGTTTGTTTTTTTTTTTTTTTTTTTTTTTTTTTTTATTTTTAGATTATAGAGGAAAATGATAATATGAGTGAGGATAAGATTGAGAGAGAGGATGAGATTGAGAGAGAGGATGAGATGGGAGGATGGGAGAGAGGAATAACAAAAGTGAAAACAATTTGAAATTTATTTTTAATTTTTAGTTTTTGTTTTCACTTTTGTTACTTATTTTTCTCATCCTCTCATCTCATATTCCCTCTCAATCTCATCTCCATTCTCATTATCATTTATATTCTCCCTCTTTTTCCTCTATACTCTAGCACAAAAAATGAAAATTAAAAACTAAAATTGAAATGGTTATCAAACGGATCCTAAGTGTTTTGTTTTTCTTTAGTTGATAGCATAAATCTTGGCCTTTATTGTACGTACTTTTTGGGTATGACATAATAGTACATGTTTTGAATGGTCCCTTTAATTTTTTTTATACTAAATGGGAAATTGAACTCGAGTCCAATAAGATGTATACACTTATTATCCAACCCGCGTAATTCATGTGTGGGAATATTCCTTTTTCGTTGAAATGAGGTCTATTAGTGACCCCTTGGATTTTCTTTATTTAGGCTGGTTTATTACCAATTAAGGGAAAAGAAAAGATTTTCTTGTGTGAAGTGATTGGACCTCAAGACAACTTGCAATTTGCAAACAAGAGGGGACCGCAAGCATTCTAGACGTTCTAGTTTCTTCTCACTGTCGCTTTCACTCTCTCGCATTCAAGCACGCGCATTTCAAAAGTATTCTCAAAGCAAACCATGATTAATTAACAAATAGCACAAAATTATTGTGTTAATGACAAATACATTGGGCACCGTTCAAACTGTCTCACTAGCATATTTCCTATCAGATCAGTTGTCCACACGCGTCCAAGATTGACCACAACACATGAACGACTAACATTCATTCAACGCTAGAGTGAGCAGTTGATAAGCATAACTCTTATGTCAGAGTCCTTATTGAGGGGCGTAGGATCTTTGGGAGGACGGTCTGCGCCTCTTTGTTTTGTTATTGCATTGCTCTGTTCAGCTGCTCTGTTTGTATGCAGAAGTGTCGCTTTATTTATCAGAGCTATTCTGCTCAGCCACGTTGTTGGGCTGTGTTGTATCTCTTTTGTCCTATAAAATTTTTCTGTCTTTTAGAAATGGTTTGTTAAACTATTTTGATGAGATGACCTATTGAGATTATCTCATCATTTTGGTCTGCGTGCAGTGCAGTCCAAAATATGCGGATTTCCTGCTCTGCTGTGCACATACCAGTCAACTTTCTTGGAAAGTTCAAAGGCCTGCGTTCATCATAACTTTCTCTATGTGCCTGAAAGACAAAGGAGCTGACGGATATAAATTACATTGCCAATTTTACATTGGTCATCGCCTAATCTTTCTTTCCCTCTGATTTTCAAATTTTGTCCTCTTTTTCTCTTTTCAAGTTGATGACGCTGGCATTTGCAAAAGTAAAAGTTGTGTTCAGACTTCAGTCGAAGGAAAGTTTCAACTTTTCATATATATGAAAAGAAAACTAGAAAGTTCAACATTACAATAGTTCATGAACCATCTTTCTAATAGAGTTATGGCAGTGCAAGCTCATTACATCAACTTTTTTTTTTTCATCGACTACATATAAGCTACATAGGAGTTGCCTGCTGATCTACCCCAAATGGTCTATATACAATGGAGGATTCTGACTCCAGGCAAGTCCAGGTGAAACTAACAGACTAGAAATTACAAAAACCTAGCTAGCACAATGTCACCTAGACAGTGGTGGTGCAAAATGCAATACTATCGACCTGTCTAAATAGAACTACAGCAGTTAAATTTCCGGTTGTCCAAGCTCCCAAACATACATGGTTACATTTAAGGTTGGACAGTACTGGTACCTGCCTATTTGTGTATGTCAGTTCTAACAAACATGCATTTCAAGTCCTAGATGGTACCCAACAGGAGGAACAGTAGATAATCCTGCCCTTCCATCCTTGCAGCATCCAGTTACCATCTTCATCAACCACAAAATCACGGTGGTATCCCAGTTTCACTTTCATCCTTAATTTGTTCATGAGTTCACGGTCCAATGGCAGCTGTTTGAACCCAGCCCTCATGTTCCGAACCTGCCACTGCTTATATGTCTCAGGCCTCACAACTCTCTCAGAACCCTCACAAGCTATTGTGTTCACAACCTCACGTCCAAGGAACTCTTCCTCAAACATCAATCTCATCGGATCTTCACGAGGTACATTGGTATCAAACATATCAAACAATGCAGAGAAGTGAAACAGTGCCTCCCTGAAGCGTGTGACGAAGAAGGGGGCATGGTAGGATCCATTAATAATGCCATGGGCAAAAATATCAGGATTCATCCTCCTAATTAAATTTAGAACAGCATCCCTTGGACTATTGACAGCAACTGTCTCATCAAGTAGGTTCTTAAACCGGAACAGACAATTCACAGCAAGCACTTCATCTCTTTTAACTTTGAGTTCCTCAATTTGGATGGTTTCCCATTTCTTTGCTATGGCAGTGTACTCAAAAGGAACATTATATCGCTCACAATACTTTGCCAACCGATGCCCTGTCTCTTGGACTCTTTCTTCAGGCCGAAAACCGCTTTGGGGAAGCTCTATTCCAGTAATGCGTAGCTTTGGAGGCCCCCCAGCTCTTCTTGAGAGGCAATGGATGAGAGCAGGCCATTGAAAACCATAAAGGATGCCGAAATCTATAATATGAAGTGTTTCAGATTTCTCAGCCAATTTCGAAATCATATGGTTTGCAAAGATTATCGCAACCTTCGTGAAGGGGCAGGCTGCAATATAATTTTGGTAAGCCTTCAGCATATCAGCAGCTGACGTTCTTTTAGAAGATAGAGCAGTATATATCTGAGTTCCAGTGCCAGCCAACCGTGCTTCAAGGCCATTTGCAAAACAATGAGCCAACCTCTGAGAGCCATCACCAAATGGGGAAGAGTGCTGCCTAATCTGCTTTAGTAGCTCATTAGCAGTCCTACGATCATCAGCAGAAACAGCTTGCGCACATAAGATCAGAAGAGTCCTTAAGTCAACCACTTCCTTCTTATCGCCCTTTTTCTTGGCACGAGTCTTCCCATTGCCAGTTCCAACAGATTGCCCATTCTGCTGCAGGGCCTTGTTTGCTTCATCCTGACATACTTCTTCACCTCCACACACAAAAGGCTCTGCTTTCCCCCCCACCACAGAGCAGCACCTTATCAAAAATCTCTGATAGCTCAGCCTCCGTATCCTCCAGATAAACCGCAGATTGCTTGTTGCTCCTCCCATCCTCCAAATCTGTATCCTCCCTCTCATGACTTTTCTTTCCTCTTGAACTTGTAGCCAAAAGCTCGATATCATCCTTCTCAGTCTTAACCACCACATCTTCAGCCTTTCCACTTGCCACTGTATAGGGCTTGTTGTTCTCTACACCAACAATCAACTGACCTCTAGGAAGAAACTTACTGGCCTCCTCTACCCCTCTGTTAAATTGCAAAACCAATTCACTCTCACTAAACAAATTAGAAACCATAAGCTCACTCATGTAAGAACCCACCAACCCATTTCCACTCTCATTCCCATTCGACGACAATTGAGACCTAGGTTTTGAAGTGGACTGGAAAACAAAGTTATCAGGAATCGGGGTTTCCAATATAGAGGGCTTATTCTCAATAACATCAGCATTACTCCACCGAGAATCGACCGAATGGCTAGTACTAGAACTAGAACTGTTAATGGCACTAAAGTCACTGAAAGTTACAGAAAAAGGACAATCTGGGCTCTCAATATTAAGAGGGTGTTGGTCTGGGGAAGGTGGGTACTTTTCACCAAGAACCTCATAAAGAGATTTCTCAGCGGCTTGGACAGCCAAAGGGTCATGGAACATACAAGGTTTTGTCACCATGTCCTCCTCCATAAGCACCTGGTTTATGTACTTGAGCACACTATCAGAGTAATCACTGTCATCTCCCTCGGGGCTCAAGCTCGGTGACAGAGCAGAGTTACCGGGGTTTTGGTCCAAAAGCTAAGATCTACAAAAGGGTCACTACTTGGGTATTCATTGAAATTGGGTGAAAGGGTCTGGTCACCAGAACTGAGACTTGAACTGGGTAATTGAGAAAAACCCGGATCCATGGTATTGAAATTCAGAAAATTGAAGAAACCCAATTGGATTATGGTGAAAATTGAGGAAATAAAGACTGAACTTTGGGAATTTGAGTGGAAGAATCTGTTTACCTGGGAAAGAATAGAGAAACCCTATTCCATTCTTTGGTCGAGGTCATGGGCAGCAGACATGGGTTTGGAGAGAGAGACGAAGACCAAAGCAAGCAGAGCATGCAGAGAGGCTGTGGAAGTCAAAAGCCGGAGCTGATGAGCAACGACACACTGCTTGGTTTCATGGCATTTTTTAACCAGAGATCACGCAGCTCGGCCAATCGGTAGGCTCTGCAAGTGTTAAAAGTTGGCCAATGATTTTAACCTAAGCACCTTTCCTTTTGTACTTTATTTTTTAAGAGGCAAAAAAAAACAGAATAATGAGTGATGGGTGATGGGTGACGATGGCCAATGATATTTATCAAGTTTCTTCTTTTTTTCATCTAATTCAAGTGTGCCCACCGAGGCATGGATATTGAAATTATTTCAATTCCTAATTTTTTCTTCTATGTTTATTTAGAGTATTCATAATCACGTTCTCTATTTTTTAGTTAAATTTTAGCTAAAAACATATAAAAGTTATTTTATGAACTCCTTATAAAATTTAAACTACAATCATGCTCTCTAGTTTAGGGAGTCATAAATGTTATAACTCTTTTTAATTGGTCCATCTCTATTAAAAAATAATATAAAAATTAATTAAAGGTTTGAAATACTCATTAAATAAAGCAGCATTAAAGTATAGGGAGTCACTATGAATCTTTTCTCTCTCATCAAATTTAGGAGCTCCTCTAGGTCTCTCTATTTTAGGAGGTGGATAAGGAGCATGGTTGGAGTTATATTTTTTCAAATCCTCTCTAAAATTTGTCTAAGGAGGTGGTTTAGGGAGCCCATTACAGATGCTCTTACACATAAGTATTAGTATTTTAAAATTTATGCAATTTTTATGTTAAAATTTATAATCCAATACCCTGAAAAATCATGAATTAAATTCATCAGGAAGTAGTTGGTCTCATTTTCATTCATCTCTTTTTAACTTCTATGATTTATGACTTCCTCCACTCCTAATAACTAAACATGCTAAATGTCAATGTACCAAATAGCCGTGTTTAATTAATTGAATTTGAATAAATTTCCGTTATGTTGGTGAAATATTGGATAACCGAACCATATAGCATGCTGCATACGTTTTTTCATTCACAATCAGATTGATGTAAATGTGTAGCACGACGTGAGCATGCACATCATCTAATGAAATCCTCACAGATTTTTTTGTGACCAAATCATACCAAGCTCTTCTCTTTTTTTCCCTAGATCTCCTAGATCTCCTAGGTCTGGCTTGGCATGTGCTAACATGTTTAGATTGAGCGAATCTAATTTGATTTTGCCTACTTGATTTACTCCATGGTTTTCTTGTCCATCTTCAAGATTTGACTTTATTTTTTTAAATTCAACCATCCAAATCTTGGATTGTTTATATTTTAGTCCTATGACCTAGTATTAAATATGCGTCGAAGGCAAAAAAATCTAGCTCAAACACTTTTTTTATTTTATTTTAATACAAGTAATAATTTAAACTATAAGGAGAGAGAGATTTCTCACACAAACATTACCAAGATGTCGTAAGATTCGAACCTGAAACCACTTATCTATACAAGTCAACCGCTTATTCTAGATAGAACTTATTGAACATCAGATTTAAAAGGAAATAATGCAAATGACTTTTAGGTAGGTGGGAGATAAATTTAATAGTTTAACCCCGTGACTTCGTGAGTGTGAACTGTGACTTTTTCCAAGTATAGTAAACTACCAGGAAACATCCCTAGTAGCCCGAGTTTTCAAAACATATCTTCATCTCTATATATGCTTCTGTATTCCAAATTACTTGTCCGACAAGTATTATTAGCTTACTTGACCTTAATGGATCGAGTTTATTAGTCCTTCTGCTTGGTAAATAATTTTTCTTGTTTGGTTGAATAATATATCAATCATTCAACTTAGCAATTAAGCTTTCTCTCTGTTGGTCTCTTTTTCTTTATAAATATATACGTATTAATTCAAGATTCAAACTTCAAAAGCTAGCTGTAGGCTATAGCTGAGGAGATGGTACAAAATTAGGAAACAAAAAAATTGTTGATACTGTCAAGGAGTAGAGAATCTTGAAGATAATTTCGTCCCATGTGCAGTGTGCACCAGAAGCAATGTTATAGTGTTATATCAACAAGCACATGCATGTCTAACATCAACATCAACATCAAATCAACAGTAACATGCATGCTTCATAAAATACAAATTATACAATCTCATCATGTCATGGGGGGTTTGGGTTAGGTTGCATTTCCATTTTCCCTTTTTTTCTCAAACTTGAAATGATGATCAGAAAAATGAGATATGTATGATAGTTGAAGGATAAAGGAGTAGTAAGTCGTACTTCCTGTAAATCGCAGTTTGACATAAGTGCAAAAATAATTCATCAAAAACATGAAATAAAAATTTCTACACGCATATCGAATAAATAAGTCATACTAAATTAATTCGTGGTCGATGCATACTCCAAATAAATTTGATGTTCGAAATTGCACCCCTTGTTTTTTTAAAGGACAATGCAGGCCAAAAATGAATTGCATGGTCCCCGTTCTCAACTCCCACCTTCAAATTTTATCGTCTAGTTTCTTGAGTTGGACTGCCTTTATGAGAATCCTGTTTTAAAATGGAAATAATATCCAAACACCCTTTTTCGTGTGTCCTCCCAATTCCCAAAAGCAGGCTAATCATGTTTTGTCTAGACCCCACTACTTGTATTTATCCATTGAATGTAATCAAGTTTTGAGTCATTCGTGTCACCATTAGTCTTTGTCTTTTCTCAGCTCAAAAAATATTCTGGGGCCTGATCATTTTCTAGCCTATAATTTCTTTCTTTATTTCCTCCCCTATGTTTTGATTTTTCTTTCTCTTTTTTACTTTTACTTTTTCTTGATTTAAAGATTTCTAGCACTTGTTAATTGCAACAAATCAAAGTACCTATTCATTGTAATGTGGAAAAACTTTTACAATCCCTTGTCCTATCCTAATTTTCGGATACATACAAATTTCGGTCTATCCTAATTTTCGGATACATACAAATTTTGATACTATGTATTATATCGCTTTTGCTTTAAATTAAGCACGAGGATAAAACTTTTTTATAATCCATGCGAGAATAATTCCTCTCATTCTTTTCTTTAGTCAACTTATAATATCACATTGTTATCTTGTCGACATTATACCTAAAATTATTTTTCTTTTCTGAAACAAAAAGACAAAATCGAAAAAAATAAATTAAAAAACTAGGTCTTTTCTGTGACAAAATATGACTTAGAAATGGAGAAATTATATAATAGTACGGATATACCACGTCAATGTATGATACTTTCATTCAAATTTTAACATATGTCCATTTTTTGAAAAGAAATTAATTACTTTATTACAGCTGGACTTACTTAAGTTTTATCTTTTAAAATAAAATTAGAAAAGTCTTAAAAAAGAAAATTAAAGAATTTTCCAACCCTCCGTCTCCAACTCAAACCTGTGCCACCCCTCTCTCTTGCTCTTCATGTCAAATTCCTAGGGTGGCGTCTGTAGCACATTTCAGAGTATGCTTCAACTCAATCCACATCGACTGTGCCTTCCGTTGATTTTTTGTTGCAAAGTGAGAGTGTACTAGAGAGTGTTTGTAGCAAATTCAATGGTGCAAGTGAACAAAGATGTGTTGTGTTTGGGATTTGTGGATGATGGGCTGTGCCCAATTAACCCAAGGTGTTGCTATTGTGATCAGAGTGCATCAATTGGAGGACAATCTTCTTCAATTTGATTTGGCTAATAAAGGACCTGGGTTCAAAATAGGATTCTAAGGTGAATTGTCTGCTGAGCATCCGATTTTGAAGAGGAAGAGCAAGGAGAGGGGTGGCACAGGTTGGGGGTTATGGGTGTTTGGGTTGGGGACGAAGGGTTGTTGGAAATTCTCTCTTTCTTTCTTTTTTATTTTTCTAATTTTATTTTAAAGGATAAAGATTAAGTAAGTCCAGCTGTAATACGCTGACGTGGTACATTTCATACTATTCTATAATTTCTCCTAGAAATGAGTACCAATGGAATGGCTCAAATGTCGTGGTGGTATTTGTTAAACTTTTGGCTCCAATGACGTCCCATATGTTGAACTTGACCCATTATTTTGGGCTTTTTTTGGTCGATATATTTCCTTGGGCTTGATACTTTTGTCCACAACACTTATTATATTAGAAGCTCTAGTTGGATTAGGCAACTAGAACTTGGGAGTAAAGTCCAGACCAAGAAAAAAAGAACTTGGGCTAAAGTCAAGCCAGCCTATATCATGCACAAGGCAGGCCATGGTCCTTAGCTATACTTAGGCTCAAATCTATAAGCCCCTCAACTCAAGTAATTGTTTTTCACTCAGAAAATGGACCTAGCATATTAAAAAGTATATAATATATATATATATATATATATATATAGTCTTGATCTAGATTTTCAATTTTTATCTACCAAAAATATTCAATTTGCCACATAAATTATTGTGACGTTTTCCCTTAAAACATAAAAAAAGTCGAAACAAAAAAGTAAAAGATCGTGTCAATTGGTTCATCTAATCATCAACATAAATACTGAGATATCTAAGTCATACCAGTAAAAACATCTATTCATTGATAAGAAAAAGAAACAAGCGCAGTTTTCGTGTAGCTAGCATCCATGATGGTGACCTACCCCAAAAGCGGCCGTGCACGAGAGGCAATTGCCACCGGACACATTTTTCTCGAAATTATTTTATTTTTCAACTTTAAGAAAGAATGAAGAAAAATGAAAATTATTATTAGCCATTTATAGTAAGGATATGACCAAAGAGACAGCCCATTTATTAGTAGCCACCGAAACCTCTTTCACCTATATTATCCAATGTTGTCCCGTTTTCAATTAAGACACTCTAAATTAGAGGAAAGGGATTGATCGATAGGTATGGGCATGGACTGTGGACGTAACAGCGACAATGTTTGTGGAAGGAAGGGAGGGGACCATATTTTCCCATTGTTTTTGAATGACATATGAACGAATGAATGAATGAAGAAACTTCAACAATCCAAACTTGATCTTGAAAGGCCTCTCTCGACTCAATTATTCACATGGCATTGGCATATATTATGTTAAGCAAAGCATAATCTCCTATTCTTCTCCCTGCGCTGCGTTGCCCAATCTGTCAACTTATTCTTCTTCTATCTTTAGCTTTTCTAAGGAAATAGACACCACCATGTCTATTAGCTTAGAGGGGAAAACACAAAATAAACAAGAAGAAAGCTGCCAAAAGTTTAATAAAAGCGATACTGGGGATGTGGGGAATGGAGCACATAACATCATGTGTATGATTTGATGCTTTAATTACTTGAACTACAAATTATTTGTAGACCCGTAAAGTTTTGGTTATATTTTATAAATTGTGTGGATTGAAAAAAAATCCGCATCAATCAATCCTACCCTGAAATAATAATAGAAAAGAATTCCTAATAAATCAAATCAAGATTAACCTGGTCGGCAAAGTGGATTGAAAGAAACCCTCATGATGCAAAAAGTAGTTTCAAATTAAAAATTGAAGACTTTTAATCATTGTTCTTCCGCATAGGTAAGCAAACTCCAATCTCAAGCCTATAATATTCTACTTCCAATTGATTCCAATCTGACCGCGGCTGGAAGTCCCACAATGACAACCAATGAGGTAATGCCATATATAATATAATATTATACATGTGGATCTAATTCTAATCCCATAAGATTTCTAAGGGCATATTGGTCCATTCGCATTGAATGAATAACATGGTTTACAGCAGGAAAAGAAAAAGAGTAGACACCATGTTTATAATATTCACAGTAAATTTTTGAATTGATGAAGGCCAAGTTGACCTTCAGATGATATTATCTATTCATAAGCAAAATGGAAAATTACAAGAATTGCATTGGCATTAATGCTAAATTTAACTAATGGAACATTACATTAAAAAAAAGGAAACAAAAAGAGCTGCACAACCACCACCAGCTTCAATTTCCCTATATCTTCTTCTTCAACGACCCAAAACATACAGAATTAAAAAAAAGAAAAGAAAAAAAAAAGATCAGGAAACACCAACAACTACTTCGGGTTTCAAAAGAATTCTGTCAGCAATCTCTCTTCTTATTCAGTCAACCATTTACAGGGGCCAGCCTCCCCTAGCAGGGAAAGTACCGTGGCCGAGAGCAACAGACCGATATTACATAAACTTTCTTCAACTTGTGCTTCTTGTCATACTTTTTACATCATTAACAAAGATACAAAAAGAAAAAAAATCAGACACCTAGACATACCCCCGCTAAAAACCAATAAATCTATTTTTGTTCAACATGTGACCGCCTTTTTCGAGCTCTATTTCAGACGAGAAGGCAAGTCTCGGGCTGTTTGAGCTGTTGTTTGGCTTGCTGCTGGGACCAGTATGCATGGGCTGTTAGGACCCTGTCCAAGAGCTCTTGGGGGACAGGTTCTCCCCTCCTTTGTTGAGGAGATATTCTTGCCGTGTGTACGAGTGTTTTCCACTTATCCTATACACCCCAATAAAACAACACCATCAACAACCAAACCCACATCACATGCCTCACTTTTTAAGCCCACAAACAGAAAACACAAAAGGCAATATAGCAGCAAAAGTTATGTAGATAACGCAATGGTGGGCACTTGGTATTGTGAAACATGTTGAAGGGTTAGATTTAGAAGAAGCGTGTAATGTTAGAATATAAGAGATTCCTTGAGACAGTTGTATATAACAAATAAAGTTATGCAGACCAACAAGGCTATAAAGACTGTCTAATCATTTGCCTCTGTTACAAGCAACCAATTTGACAGACAGATCAAACTAAGTACGCTTGTGGGCCTTAGCCATAAAAAGGACTTTCAAATGAGGAAACAAACAAACAATTACGTGAAAGTAAAACATCCTGTGAAATTCAAATTTGAAAAACTTTACCACCACTAGTTCTACAGGGATTCAATTAGGTAACAAATAAAACAATAAACCCAATTGCACTTGATTTATCATTGCCAAATAGACTCCTTACCTTCAAATCCACATATGTTCGATGCTTAGCATTATCAAAAGCTCGTAGCTTAACATCACGCCACCTGTAAATAACAAAAACTATTAAAAACTCGACATTGCAGTTAAAGGGGCTGTTTCCTCACCCACAAGGCAAGGCAGATATGCCTGATCAAAGTAGGGTTTAACTGAGCAAGTCATGGTCGACCAAATAAAACTTTCGAAAATGCTAAATCAAAAGTTACGCTCATGGGTCATTAAAGTACCTTCCAGTGCCAAGTTTCTCAACCGCTTGGACAAGTGCTTCCACTTCAGCAACAGAGAATGGTCGACGGATTCGGCGCTGCCCAATATCAAACCGCTTTGATTTCCTGTGCCCAGGAACCACAGCTAGTGCCTCTACACTCATATCTGGCACAGCAACCAGGGCTTTAGAATCTGTTGTGCTTTTATCAGCAGACATATCAGTTGGAGAGGGTGCTGAATCATGATCACTTTCGATGAAGTTCCCTAAACTGGCCGTATGAGGCTCAGGTGAGGCTTCACTGGTAGGACCAGATGGATACCTGGTGCAAAATCATTATGAGCTCAATGGAAATCAACTTTCTAGTCTTGCTCTGAAAGCCAACCAAGGAGATTGAGCTGGCATCACAACTATATCAGACTAACATGCATAATCCAGTTCTTACATTATTAAATCTTCAATGAAAGCATTCTAGGACTCACAAAATTTTTAAAAATAAAAGAAAAAGGAGCACGGAAAAGAAGAAGCATCACCATACATAATCAACTAGCATAATGCATTACCTTGTTAAAGGCTGAAGTACATCGCAAGGAAGCATACGGGGAGAATCCCCAGAACATAGAGGTGGAGGGGTTTGGGAAGGGTTAGGCTCCAAGGTAAATCCCAAGGAATCTAGCTGGTTATCTTGAGAAATTCCTGTCTGCTGTAAAGTTTTATTGTCGTCTCTCACTTTCTTTCCCTGAAGAAGTACACCAACGCATACTCCACCTCCAAGTACTGCTGTCACTGCGTCCATAACCGTCTTCTGCAGAGCAATCACACATCATCAGAATCCAAACTAAGACCGTGTGAAAGGTGAGTAAGACGGACTGTTTCAGGTAAATTGCAACAGCTTGCTTTGAGGAAGACAAAATATGAACGCTCATGTATATGCATACTCATTTACACCAATACAGTATACTTCATAGCTGACAATTAGGGAAAAGCACAATCAAAAGAAGTCCCAAAGTACCTTCAATGAACCAACAGTTGCAGTGTCCGGGATCTCTATGAATAGCTCGGGCACCCTAAAAGACTTGATCCTGAGCTTCACTGAGTAAAGGGAACCTCTTAGAATGTTAGACACCAATCAAGTAAAAATTGTACACATTAATCACTCTGTCAAAGTTTCTCATACCGTGAGAACTCCTTGATTGGAATGAAGAGTGTTGACCTGCTAGCGAAGAAGATTTCATAGCGGCTGCATAATTTTTTCAAACTGTTTAGTTAAAAACTGAAGTGCATACATCTCAAAACATTTGAGATGATCAAATTCAGATTGAATAGCATGTGGTTTGGAAAATGACCTCCTTGCATCTTTGAACATGAAGCATCTCCAGTGATTCCCTTACCACGGGAGTCAAAGAAGCCCTCTCTACTAATACCTTCATCAATATTCAGAACTGCACTACGGTCGAAAAGCTTCCTCTTCTTAAAAGGAATATTCATTTGAGATCTTTGACGTTTGTAACAATTCTTCCTATTGTGGTAATTTGGTTTCTGATCCCTATCTGAAGATTCCACAAAGAAAAATGCTATTAGAAAACAGATCACCATAATTATGCAGCATTGCTAATAAAACTGTACATGAAGCTCGAGAAACTCACACATTCTTTTAGTACAAGGCAGCCACTTACAGGAATTAGAATGTATATCATCCTTCAACTTCGGAGCCACTTTCCAATATTTTGAAGCCAATATTTTCCTTATTCGTCGGTCTCCAATACGCGATGGCGCTGGCCTTGAATACTTTATTGAGGTAACAGGGTGAGTACACCCAGAGGAGTTTTCGTCATCATCTCTACTAACTACTTTTACATCATCCCGGCTAGTGGGGAAAGATCTCTGAGGAATATGGTCTACATACATAGGCACCTTGGTACTACTATCTGAACTAACTAGTGCAGGAGGTTCCCCTTCCCAGACCACTGGATCCTCTAAACCGCACATATCAGGCCCAGTACCAATTAGCACCTTCGCACTCTTATTGGTCTCATCTTTTATTAATGTTTTAACTTCACCATCTAACTTAAATTCACCAGCCTCCCTGCAGCCAGAAGAGCCTGCTTCTATTTTACTCGTAAAACTTCCCGTCTCATTCTTGCATTTTCCACTCACCAACATATCAGAAGCAAACCTCTCCGAGCAATTGGAAGTTGTCATAACAGAGCTTTCATTCTGATGAACAGGAGACTCCTTGGAGCACGAACTTTGATTCGGACCTTGTGAGATATGATCAGATACAGGGATTCTCCTATCACAGCTGCCTTGATCGCAAGGTTCCACTTTCAATGGTTTGTCACCATCCAGACAATTTTCCTTCGTACCTGCACACTGATCTTTTGACGTATGACTGGAAGCAGGAGAACTCTCTCCCTCGAGCAATAACTTGCCAGCTATGGTGGCCAACAAGTCAAAGGCACCCATTGAATTGTCGTCAACTCTCTTTCTAATTGCACCTCTCCTCTGGAAATCATTATGAAAATTAAACATTTGGATCATAAACATAAAATGCAAATCACAAAGAGTCGCTGGATATATATACCCTTGCTGATCTGGTAGCTCGAGGAGTGGCAGGCACCTGATAGCCATTAAATCCGTAGTCCAACCTCTTCTGCAACACCATATCTCAAAAATCATACCACGATGATTACATAAACCACAAAGAACGAGGAACAATTCCTTTCAACAAATATACACTTCACCAGCTGCCAACTCTCAGAATCCAAGAATAAGAACTCCTGACAACAGATGAACGCAAGCAATTGTTGGATCACAGAAAAAAAACTCAGATAATTGACTATGTCATCCAACATTTAGTGAGAAACACAAGTTCCCAAATATTCCTCATAACACACTTTGCACAGGAAAGATAAACCCATCAATCACCAAATTGTTTATCGACGAAGGCAGCAAAAGAATCCAGGGAGATAACAGAAACATTATTAGCTAATAGCCATTGCATTTAGTTTCAAAGAAACCACAATTGGTCAACAAAAACTCCCAAAATATACAATGAAATATCAGTCATAAATTCATGCCAGTAACTCCCATCAGATCCACATGATCTGACTACAAGGACATTAACATACCAGCCCGGGAAAGAACAAGGCACCCAACCCACGTCGCACCCAACCAAAAACTAACTGAAAAATAGACTTGATAACATGAAAGACCTTCTCCACAGTTTCTGTAAATTCAGACAGGAGTAGCATAATTTTCCATTTTTGACGGAGTAAAACAGAAGCGGGAAAAAGGAAAAAAAATATAAAAAAATAAAAAAGGGCCTTAAACCACAGCAAAACCTTACATAAAAAACGCAAGATATAGATCTGAATAAAACTTCCGGCCATCAAAAAGGAAAATTGGGACCAACTGAGGCAATTTGATTCTCAGGGAACTATCCAAAAAACTTGAAAATCAAGAGGTCTTAAACCCTCAGCCAAGATCGACCTTGCAGAACACATAATTCAGATTGTGTGTCCGCAACAGACAAAAATAAACAGAGAAACTTCATTTCTCGAAGTTTTGAGAGAATTTAAAATTTTTTGAACCAAAATTACGATGGAAATAATGAATTACCACCAGAACACCCAGATCGAATCCATTAAACCCAAACTTCGGAAACAAAACAGATCATCCATGACAATCAATGAAAAAAAATCAACCCAGGTTTTTTTTAAAGACCCAATTGATTGCTCAGAATTTACGAGCGGAAAAACCCATAATTTGGAGCATAAAAGGCTTTTGGGTTGAATTACACGTGAAAAAAACCCTGAACAATTCTCTCCCCTTCCCGCACTTTCTCATCAACCAAACGTACTGTTCAGGAAAGGCTCATCGAAACCGTAAAACCCACATCACATAAACGGAAGCTTTTGCAATTTTCACGAAACAGAACCACGAAAACACAACATGCTCACCTCTGCACAACGATTTTTCGCTAAAAGTTCAAAGCTTTACACCGAGAAATCAAATTCTGGAGAACTTTCAGGCGAATGCAAGATCGGTAATTGTCGGAGAATTCAAACAAGAATCTGGAATTTATCTTTCTATCACCACATCCACACTTTTTCCTCTCCCATTCTCTCTATCCCATATTTTCCCGGAATTTATTTTTAAAAAAATTCTTTTGCTTCAAACAAAACCCATTTTCTCTCTCAGAAAACAAAAACCAAAAACTCGTCTTTCTCTCTCCCTCTGATCGCCAAAACCCTCTGAAAACCACCAACCATTGCTTAAACCCCCGGCTCTTATACCATTGACTCCGCTTACCGAACCTATCGGTAATTCCTGTGGGCTTACCGGCTATAGTAGGTGTGTGGAAACCACTAAAAGGACCGGTTCTTCGCGTTTGGGTGACCCACTTTCCAAGCGCCTAGTGATCGTGACACGTGGAGGGCTCTGGGATTATGTGGCTGCTTGTGGTCCGCCTGATCGAGAAAAACGTTGGGTCACGAAGACAGCGAGTCTATGTTTTTTATTTTTTTTTGTGGGTTATAATTTTGGTAGGCAGTCCGGGAAAAAATATTTGGTTGCCATATATATGGGGTAATTTTTGGTCATCTCACATGAAAATTGAACAGATGGTGTTTGGTTACCAAGAAACAAGATACCAAATGGTATTAACAATTTACATGATTCTTCTTCTTCTTCTTCTTTTTCAAATGGTTTAACTACTTCCCAACTTGGGAATATTAACATTAATTGTGTGAAAAAGTGTAATTTCTTAAGTGAGCATTGTGGGAGATGAATGAAATCATTCAATTAAAACCTAACTTTAGTATCGAAAGGATTTTCGCAAGCATCACACGAGTCGTTGGTCTTTAGAAATGTTTTGTTTGGTAGTAGGATTTCAGAAAGAGATTCGATTTTTCAACATCAAACATATTTTACAAGTTGCCAATTGCTTGTGTAACCGTAGACTGGTTCGATTGCAATTATGAATTTTTAATAAAATGAATCGTGATCTATGAAGTCTTCTCAGTATCAATTAAATGTGATATGGAATTAACCATGCTTTAGCACAATGAATTCACTTTAAATTCTATGAAAATAGGTTATTAATAAATGTAGTACCAAACAAATCACGTGCAATTTGTGAGAGTGAATTTGTTCAAAGTGGACTACATAATTGCTAAGATATTCTCCGAATGTGTCAAGAATTAGATCACTTTACAGCGTAACGAAAAAAAATTCTAAGCTCTTTCAATATTGTGAGAGATAAATACCACTAACGTAAAAGCAAGTCGACGATAAGAAAGAAGTATTATTATTTATTATTTTATGGTAGCTAAAGTGAAAACATGATTTCATTAGGCCAAAATTATAAGAAAGATAATAAGAACCAATTTTAACTGGGAAAATTGAGATAAATAAAACGCGAATATTTACCACCACAAGTCATTCGTGGCCGTACTTGCGAAAAGTAGCTGACTGTAAAAGGGAGAAGAAAAGAAGACGAAGAGAAAAAAGGTAGAATCAATCAAGCAGTTACCCAGTTACGTATCAAACTCAAAAAAGATTCACGCGGGGTAGACCGTAGACAAGTAGAGATCTAGTCGTCCAGGACACCTCCCATTATTTTATGCCTTGCTTCCTTCCTTCTCTCTCCTCAGCGTCACCCTCAGATCTACAAATAGTACTTTTTTCTAACACGGATCCGATCGTCCCGACGGGGACAAACTCGTCATTTCAGACGTACGTCAATTGTTAAGTTTACCTTAAAACATTTTGTTGTATTCGTCCCAGCAGTTATCCCGATAAGCATGTTGCGCACCTTTTTCAGCGTTGCTCAAATTTATTTTATAAAATAAATAAAACAGAAGAAAAATAAATATTTATTTTCTTTTATTTTATGTAATGTTTCGCTTTTTGTTTTTGGATTTAAGCGGGGAGTGACGTAGGACGGAGATCGGAATCCGACGTGGCGAAAAGGGAGGTCCCAATTGGTCGCTTTTTGGTGAGTGTTGTTATCTCTATCAGTAGAGGAGAAGGACGACAAGGGGCATGAGCATATGCAAATAAATTTTAAAATTTTCGAACCTGGTGGGGCCCGCGGGTGGGATGTGACGGGGAGGAATCTCCGTTACAGATAACGGGAGGACGCGAGCGGTGGTGGAGAGCCGAGATAGCAAACGCCGTTTAATTCGGGGATAAAGAAGTGGTGGTGGTGGACCCCACTGCCACGTGTTTTCAATTTTTGATAAAAGCAGTGAGAAAGTTGGGGGAGAGTTTGAAGAAGTTTGACGATTGAGAAAGAGGTCGTTGTGGAGTGGACACGTGTCGGGCGAGAAGAGCGGTTTGCCAGGCAGTGAAGAAGAACATGGAGAGAGAGGCTAGCTTGCTTGTAAGGGAACGTGGGGCTTATCGCTACACGTGGCGACGAGGGAGTGGCTGTCACTAACTCGAAGAGAGAAACAGGGGCTTCTATTTCCTCGCTCTTTGTTTAGAAAGTGGTAGTTACGCACACTAGGTGAAGAGAGTTTGGTTGCAAACTAGTGCTTCAAAGATTGCAGCTTTTTTCTTCCTTTTTAAAGAGTTTATAAAGCAATGGCTCCAAACTCATTTCTCAAAATGTTAACTATATATATATATATATTATTTTTTTTACCACAAAAAAAAAAAAAAAAAAAAAAAAAAAAAATGTCCCGAATGTTGCACTATTATCTTATTCTTGTGTCTCGTCTTATGCAACCTATCATGTGAGAATATAGATAGGAAGAGTAGATGGTAAATTTGGGCATAATGGTCGATATGTCTCCGTAGTAAATGACATCATCCATCCAAAATTTATTACATAAAAAAGAAAAAATGTGAGTTTTTAAAAGTGTTTTTGAAAAGTCTTGGTGGATGAATTAAGTAATATCAATTTGTTTTTCACATTGTAACAAGTGGTGATAAACTATGTTGATGGAAGGAGCATTTTGTTGTGATAAAGAAAGACAATTGACATTAGAATGCAACATATCAAATGTTGCTCCCATCCTTTCCTCGCAAAACTTGCCCTCCTCCCCTCCCCTAACACCCCCGACCCCTACCCTTCCTCATCCGGATGGCCTCTACATTTCCCCTCCCTTGTCTCCTTTTGCCCCTTATCCTCTCAAGGTTATGGAAATGAAATCTGGTGGGGCCATGGTCCAATAATTATTTTATTTTTTATATATTTAAATTTGAATATATATATATATTAATATAAATATTTATAATAAAAAAAAGAAAAAAAAAGGGTGATGATGGTTGATTGAGGATAAAGCTAGCAAACGTGATAAGTTTGTGCGCAAGAAGGTTCGAAAACCCTTCCAACCATAAAAATTAGTTTGGACAACAAATAGGTTCAAAATAAGAAAACATTGGAGAGGTCATGCAATGCAAGAAGCTTTACCTTCTTGTTAGCGGCAATGAATATGGTCCTTCCTTGTGTATAATTTTGTACTTTGCCTTGTGTAGTTGTGTGGATATAGTCCCAATTGCAAAAGACAAATTTATCTATTTGAAAAAATATATATATATTTTTATTTATTTATTGATGGTCATGAACTCCAATTCAAGTGGCATGGAGATAGAGTGGATAAACAAAACGATATGGATATGTAAAATACAGGATTTTCAATCATAGCAAGAAAAGGAGGGAAACGGATACTCAATTTAAAATGAGTAAACATAATTTCATACTTGATCTCATAGATACATATAGAATTCCGTGGAATCCTAATAAGCAGCTGAAATTCTTAATCCGTACGTTAAAAGAATACTAATTGATGTTTATTGAATAATCTAGGGAAACAGAATTTTTTATTTATTTTTTGGTTGTGTGACTAATCTGCTGAATGAGGGATTATCAAGGCATGTTTTTCACCTGTAATTAGTGTTGATTTTATTGAATGATGATGACGTTTGGCTGGATGTTATGTCAACTACTTTATAATCCCACCAAATTTTTATGCAATTAATAATAAATGAAATGAACAAGAAAAAAAAAAGTTGACATCTCAGATTTCCGTCCAAGTTTGGTGATATTTCTAATCGTAAGTTATGAACAAAGGAATATATTTATTGATGGTCATTTGAAACAAAACTATAAACCCCTCATAATTATAAAGAAAATATTTTGACTTGAATTTTAACACACTTAAACCGAAAGCTAAACCCTATTACCCGACTAAGTAATGACGTAATTAATGTTTTAATTACAAGTATTTATCTTTATCTTTATATTTTTCCTGTAGATCTGTTAGAACAAGAAAGAAAGTACATGTTAATCCAGCTTTTCTGCCCTGACCCTGAGAGTCCGAGTCACATGAGGGGGTGTGGTGTAAAAGACACATGACCAGTGAGATGGGTGGGTTTGGCAGCTAGCTAAGCTGCCTGGCCCATGCATATGAGAGAGAGAGAGAGAGAGAGAGAGAGAGAGAGTTGGGCAGGGTTAAAAAAGCAGCCCCAAGAAAGCTGGAAAAAGTGCAGCAAAATAAATGTATGTATGCGATTCCATCGAACCACAAGAAAACTAAGCGTCGGGAGATCTGTCTATCTGTCTGCAGCAGCTACAACTTGCAAGAGAATTAACAGAACCAAACCCAACTCATACATAGCAATCTAATCTCATCTATACATGTATGGCATTGGCATATAATTATAATGTGGTAGGCCTTTTATTTTAAAACAAATGCCAACATTGTTCTCAGCCTCGTTCAACTGCTGCCAGCTGATATTTTGATTGGATTTTGGATTTCCCAACAATGGGATCACAACTTGGTTGTCGGTTTTATGCCAATGACTTTATTTTTTTTGTATTTTTTATTTTTGGTGTGTCAATGTCTTCATAAATTTTAGGGTTAGTAGGGTTGAGTATAACGGTTGTTTTTTTTTTTTTTTTTTTTTTTGTTTGTTTGTTTTTGTTATTTTTTTCTGATCGAGAAATGCTAAAGAGATCATATTTATAAATCACATTTCTTATAGAGGTAAGATCCATATTTTTGAGCTTTATTTAGAGACGTGTACATAAGGTGATCTACAAATGTGGTCTCCCTAGCATTACTCTTTCTGATCACGTTAACAGTTACAAAATATTACAGTTATGTATTACTTAGTACTTTGTCATGATAATTGATGTAGCAAGTGATGTTGGTTGATGTGAAAATCGATTATAGTGTCCATATTTATCAATGATTGTTAATTAGTTATACATACATGAGCGACTAATACGAACATTTGTTTTCTTGTAAATAATGTTAAGAAAAACAGCCAAGAACTCTCATCATCAATATTTTATGGAAACAGAAACAGAGAAAGAGAAAGAAAAAGAAAAAAGAAAAGTCTTGTTTATATTTGTCTTTTTAAACCTAAAGTTTGGAGGAAGTTAAATTGAAGTTCACGTAACATGAAGATTTCTTGACGTAAAAGGGACAAACAGATCTCATTCATTGAGATGTGGTTGTGGCAGTTGGGAAAACTCTTTGCTGCTTTTCTGTTCCATGGAGCCTTTCAACACAGACTTTGTAACCCAACAAACAGCCAGTAGAGAAATTAAAATGTATATAAATAAATTAAATAAATTAAATAAATAATATATCAGTGTTAATGTATATGTGGCAGCAGATGCTTATTCGTCAACAGTAAATCACAAGAATATCATAAAGAACAAACTAAACCACTTTTAAAAGATCAATGCATTGGGTTCGGTTCACACGTTACTTATAAACTGTTGACTTCATCTTGGTTTTTTTATTTTTTATTTTTTGGCACAACAAGTTGTTGTTGTGAGACTTGAATGACAATTATGGCAAGATAAACTTCTGATAAAATTGATATATATCCTGTCGTTATTTAAAGGCGATAGTTTTTTAAATTTTATTTTCAGTGGAAAGGGAATCAAATTCGAGACTTATTGTGAGAAAAAATACCACTAGATTAATAGTTAGTTGGTCAACCATGAAATGTTTTACCGTTCGACGATTCATTTTGTTCTCTCATCAAAATAACATAAAAATCGAACTCATTAATTTGTTGATATTTTGTAGAAAAATTATTAATTTTTAGCATGATGATGTGATATAAGTTATAACCGTTGTTTTCTTGTTAAGCAGTCGACGGCGTAGACCAAAAAACCAAAAGAAGTAAAAAGGAAAATGAGTTAGCCAAAGACAACAACATGGACAAAATGGCAAGAGAGATATTAATAAGCAAATCTAGTTTAGGACCATTCTTAGCCTTTAAAACAGTGTAGGAGTTAATTACCAATTCCTACCAAGCAAGCATGGCATAATTGACTATGATAAGTCATTGACCAATGACTCATCCAATCCAAGCGAGGGAGAATGGCAGTTTCAAACTTTCTTTTTCCTAAAATAATCCCCACTAATTATTCCCACCGACTCACATTCAAAATGAAAATGGAGAACATATTCGGATTACCCTTTGGTTTTCAACAGAATACACTACCCAACCCATTAAAGGCAAGGATCATTTGCTGTGGAGGTAGAACAAGAGCCAAGTTGCCTGTAGAATTTTAACCAAAGTAGGGTGGGTGACCTTAAATTATTTCTTTAAAACTTACTTTCGAAATATAGCGTTACCTTCACTGCTTGCATGCGTGTGAACGCTTAAAATTATTTTTTAATGCTAGTCTAATAGTGAAATTCTAGAGAAATTTATTATTATACGACGGAAACACCATATAATATGCCGATTTGATAATATTAAATCACTCAAATTATAATACATGCTTGTGATATGTTTATGGGTCAGAGAGTGCAGTAATAGCAAATGGAAATTGTTAACACAGAATTTATAATTTGGTGGAAATAATGAAATTAATAGAATACAAATTTATAAATAAACCCAATTCTAGACATGTATTTATAAAAAAACTCAAGCACTATTTAAACATAGAAACACACCCAAAATCAATCCCAAAGTCAACTTTTTGGGTGTATTTATAAATGAGTTTTGAGTGTGTGTAATGATGGGTTTTGGGTGTGTTTATAAAGTGTTTTGGGTGTTTTAGTGAAACTCCCTCAATAGAAACCCTGAAAACCCAAAATATAAGTTATTTTAGGCAGCTAGGCGTGGGCTCATTATAACTGCACCTTGAAAAGATGTTTTGTTGGGATATTCTACTGGATTTATATTACAAGCACAGCAAGCAAAGTAACGTAAATTGTTTTCCAGGAAGAATCTGGTAGGGTATATCCGGAGTAAAGGAAAGAAATCAGTCTTCTCCAAATACCATTTGAAGTTTTAAATTGAAAGAGCGGAAAAGCTTGTTAATCATGAAGCCGTCAAAGTTGTTAAATTAGGGAATCTTTCTTCACCCGGGGTCCATAATGATAGTGACACTACAGGTAACTCTGGGCCATTGATTTGAAGTGGAGGTGGATATTGGGCCCAAGCAGCTGCCATTGCAACATTGGATTTGCACAAGCTTTTAAGGCATTTTGAATACAAAAACGCAGGTCATGGATTCGGTTAGGGAACCATCTCCGTCGCCATGGTAACTATTTTACTTAAATTACTTTCCTTAATAAAATGATTAAAAATTTATAATTTAATGCATGTAAAGTGTGATAACACATAGAAATTCTAAAGGCGAAGCCCGTGGGGCTAGCGGGGATCCAAAAAAATTGTCATCCCTAGATTTGGTAAGTTATATAGGGAGAGGTCATGACTTATGTTGTGGACAAATGGAGCACTTGTGTTTTCTTTGTTTTCGTAACTTGGATTATCTGTCTGAATTCTTTAGGGGGTTTGTGATGCGAACCATATATTGAAGACATCCTGTTCCTCCTTTCATTTGTGGGATTTAAATAGTTGGTTGGAAAAGGACGGTATGATGTATATCAAGAAGATGAACAAAATGCTGAAGATTATCAAAATTATGCAACCATATTTACTGGTCAAGATGATATATACGGTACCGCACCTGAGATGAAAAGTAACCGCTTATGTATTAACCACCATATCTAAATGGGAAACAAAAAATCCATATTTTGTACAAAAGACTTTTTTTTAATTTTTAAATCCCAGCTCCGGCACCCGTGAAGTTATACATCAACTTGATGAAGAGAGAAGAAACATGTCCATGTTTAGAAGGGTGAAACCACTAACCAGTAAGTTTAGCATGACACCATATGGGAAGTCTTATTCAGAGCAGAGATGTTGCCCCATGCACATAGCTGCTTCTACCACACGTCGAAGGAGCTGGCAAGGCAAGGCATCACCCGAGTATCATAGCGTTAACCAAAGAGACTTACATAACCTTTCTTCTACTTCTTTCCGTCTCTCTTTCATACACTAGGAGATATCAGTAACAAACAGGAAAACAAAACCAAAATAGGATTATGGAATGGGGGTACAATGTACACATGCCAACAGCCGACAAACTGCTTCCACAAGCTAAAAGTTCCAATGAACTAGCAGCACAATCCAACAAGGTAACACAAAGGTAGGGATACCTCATTCTGCAGACAAATTACCATACTGCCATGGGTTGAATTCAATTAGTTTAACATCAACCTCATCAATAGAGTCAGAGCTATCGACTGCTGCTCGGTGTTCATTGTATTTATTGTTATATTGATAGACTTCCAAGTCACCCCAAGGTGTAGGTGTAACTTCCTCAGTCAAGTCAAACCATCGTGGTGTAAACTGATGATGCTTGGCCTCTCGTTCTCTCTTTTCGGCTCTCTGCCTCTCCTCCAATCTGAAAGAAAGAAAGGGTAATTAAAGGAACAATCATCTTTGTGAGGGGGCAAAGACTCAATGCAAGCATGAACTTAATGCCTTTGCGACAGCTAAGAAACCTCAATCTGTACCTAAATCATCACAAGGACATCGTAACAGAAAAAAAACCAATTATTTAAATATAAGAAAGATGCAAGTCTGTTAGAAATTTCCAACAAATTCAGCAATTTGGTTCCCTATTGAAAACAATACAAATTACTTGAGAGAGAGACAGATACCTGCTCTTTTCTGCACCTGATTTGGATAGATCACCTTTCTCAAGTGCATATCTATCAGGCCGCAAACGAGAGTCTGATGCCAACAACCTTTTAGGAGCGGTGTCAAAGCTATTTATTTTATGTGCAAAATATGTGTACTGAAATTTGTCATTTTTTGGAGCATCAGCAATATGCCAAACCTGCAGCACAGATTATCTTTCGTAAATGTAAGAAGCCAGACTGTTGAGTATCTTTTCCCAGCAAATATAATGGAAATCAATGTCATACAAGGTGTGATCCAGTTAAAACAATATGCCAGAAACAGACAGACTAGCAAATAAACTATTCATCATCTTCTTGAAACTTTTGTTTCTGTGCCAAAGAAAGCAGCTGAATCCTGACAAATACTAGTGAAGAGTTCCACTAGGCAGGAATAAATAAGTTAAGGTAACAAGCCATTACCACACTCTGCTGGGACACTATTTGTCTTTAATTAATCACGCACTATAATGGGTTCATCAAAGAAACTAATCCCATAAAAATTCTCTTAAATTAAAATAATATATGTGATTTAACTCCATGAAAGTAAATGCACATATTGTATATTAGACTTGACTGACTGTATAAAAAAAAGATATAATTGTCAAGCTCACAGATTCTACCCTTTTCACAGCACCAACTAGAAATATTAGAGCAACATTTCAATAACATACAAAATTACACAAGAAAGATTCTATGAGTAACCTCTTTTAATTCTGTTCCTGGAAGGGGTTCCCCTTCCATATCACATGGTTGATAACTCATTGACTCATTCCATTTCCCAGTCATCAATATCTGAGGTTCCTCAGCAGCATTGTAAACATATCCATCCACTTCATAGCGGCCAGCTCTGCAACCAAATACAGCTTTTAATTGGACACCAGTACGATGTGGCAAGTAGCATAAAAGAACACGTATAACTACTACGATGGTTGTATAAACTAATTCTGGAACTACCACGAGAAGTTATAAAAGAGTAACAAATCTTTTCAAAACTCAGTTTATAGTACTGGAATAGTTTAATTACAGCAGGATCCAGTGAACCATTTAGAATGAAGCAGTCTTATTTATAGAGACACCTTAGCCATATATTAAGAAAGAAATATGGGGTCAGGAATCTATTTAGCATATACCCGATAAGATCAAACAGTCAAATGTAAAGAGTTCTAATCTCATTATACCACAGAATCCACCAGTAAAAACTAACAAGGCTCACAGTTGAGGAATTCATAGACGGGAGTAGATGTTTCATGGAATTGAAATAAGAAGAAAAGATACCCAAACCAGCCACATGGCTGAAAATATAGCACAGCTTTGTCCCCAGTCGTCAGATTGGTCATGATCATCTCCCCTGGTGAATCAACCCACGTCCGGCCGAATATTAAGTTGTTTACCTTTGTGGGAGGTGGCACTAAGTCTAAGACTACACCATCTCTTTTAAGAGTAACGCGTGTTCTGCGAACAAACCAATAGTACATAAACATAAATGTTCTTTCCAAAATTCCCATCTAAAATATGAACAAGAGAAAAAACACGATGATAAATAAAAAAAGCACTTGATACTAATAATATTTTAAAAAATTAACCCCATACATCAACAAAAGTACAAACCAACAAAATTGAATTGAAATAACAAATATACATAATAGTTCAAAGTAGCCATATAGAGATGCAACTCTTATAAAAATGAAGCGAAAGCAGGTCAAGCCCTCACAAAGGATTAGCTTCAGAATCCACTAAAAACCAAAAAAACTGGAGGGGTTAAAAATAAAAAAATTACAAAAAAAACCTTTCTACTCACACAAGCTAATGGCATCCAAAATAAATTTATATCGTCGGGTGAACATAAAATACATACACAACTAAATTTATGATTATAGAAACAAGCAATCAGTGTATTACCTTCCAACAGGGTAAACATCAACAGAGTTGCCTAAAAATTTAGTTTTCAGCTTTGATGTCACATCATAAGCAAAATGCTCATTTTCAGCATGCCCAGCACTCATTGGTGGATGATGACTCACCTGGAATAATGATATATGATGAATCATTTCAGCTTACTTATGATTTTAAATGGAAGACAGAAGAACATGAGAGAAAACCTAATGAGGATGCAATTGAAAGACACCACAAGATTACTAGATGTAATATAGCTTTAGGGTCAGTCATTTCTAGAGGCTTCCCCTAAAAGATCTTTTGCAAAGTTCTCAGAGAAAGGATGCTTTTGAAGAAGCTCCAAAATAAAGCTTATCCAAGAAGATGATACTTTTGCTTATTAAGTAGGACAAAAGGTTTAACGACCTCAAAATTGTGAGAAGCATTTTCTGTTGAAAAAAGTATGCATCCCTCTCCAGAAGCAGTGTCAAACGAACACCAGGACAGGTAATCCCTCAAAAACTCTCAAAAGCTCATACTCAGGACGGTCATAGCCCTCAAAAGCTCACCTGCTCTGCAATAAATGTAACCCCTGAGTGATTAACCATTTCATAAGTTTCCCCAAGGATAGGATTGAATGGCTTCCATGTTCGCTGGTAGGCATAGTAGACGGATATAGCCCATGACGCTGCAATGATTAATATGAATTACATGATTCAAGAAATGATACTTGCAGAGCATCACAAGAAAACTTCAAAGGAAAGGCATACTCACTGGCAAACACCAACCGCAAATAAGGATCCTCACATTCGTCTGCGCGATCCAACAAGTTCGAATACTCCATTAACTGTCACAGACATTGCACAATTTATATAATAAAGTATATATACAATGTGCACAACAACAGTGCGCACAGATATTAAGTAGCACAAACCTCGGCCATTTTCTGCAGCATTGTCATGGGCTCAAAAATAAGTACAGGAAGAGTCACCATTGATGTTACATCTGAACCTATATACTTCTGCATCATCCTCCAGTAACTATCTCGTTCCTTAAACATAAAAATTGCAGAGAACTCAATATGTCAGGATGTATAAGCGATCCAGGTTAAAAATGACAAATAAAATTCACATTTGAAGTAGAAAATAAGAAGGTTAAGGGATGCAGTTTATGAGTTAATGTTAGGATGCTATCACAATGGCAAGACCACCTTAGATTCCAAGCCCTGCACTTTAATTGCTGGAATTAAACATGAAAAATGTCATATTACAACATCTACACATATATTAATCAAGAAACAATAAGGACAACATGCCGTTCTGAACACATAGCCATCCCTCATATAAAAACACAGTTGAAACACTACACTAAATATAGACAATACTCTTACTCCTAATAGCCAACTTATCATCAAGCATATGATAACTAAGAGCAGCACATCCCTTGAAAGATCAAATGTACAAATGGAAAAAAACAGCACACCTCCTGCTTCCATCTTCCTCTATGAGCTTCCTCCTCTGCATCTTCTTTGCCTCCCTCTGGATTTATGACTTCCACCCCTTCATAACCAAGCAACCTAAAAGCAAAAGGAGAGCCAGATTCTCAACTGACAGATCTCACTCCTTAATAACATATCATAAGGGCCAGGGCATAGTTTTCTCAATAACTGGTACACAAGAAAATGAATGTAGTGCAAGAAAAGTACACCAAAAGTGCCCTTGTATACGGAGTACAAGAACAGTGAACATGCAAGTTATACATAAATGAAACTAATGGCCTCAACTAGAGATTCAGCAGACATGAAAATCACCTCCCTAAAGAGAACCAATCTATTTGGGCTGTCTGAAAAATTCTTTATATTTTTTTAACAATTTTAAAAAATAAATAAAATTAAGGGCGAGTTTACACCAATATCCATATTAAATTAAGAATTGCATTCCAAGTCATAGGCCTGCCTACAAATTACTGGACTACTATCCAAGGCACCATTGCTTAGATGCTAATAAGCATGTCTTTGTTCGAATATTTATAGAAAAATAAAATTTTGATGATAATCATATGGCAAGAACCTCTAATACTGATTCCAGACAATCTGCACATTAATTTTCAATTTAAATGACTAAATGATTTATTCAAATGGAAAGCGGTAGGACCACATTCATCTTCGATAGGTACACAAACACACACTTGTAAGTGTCCTAATTATAAACACCAACACAATCCGCCTCATTGGCTGATTAAAACACTAGCTCAAGTTAAGAATCCAACTTGCATCGTAATTCAGGAACTGATATAAAGGCCGCATTGTGTCTTACAACTAACCTAAAACCCTTCCAAACCCAAATTCAGCATCCTCATCCTAATAGGGAACTCTAAATTCAGCAATTCACTCACAATGTTGCGCAAAGGAAACCCAAATATCCAACAAATCATAGTCGTTTCAATGCAGTACATAAACGTGTAAGAAAACAGACACATTTCGAGGAGAAAGAGTCTGATAAGAATCCGATCACAAGCAAGATCAAAATGTCACAGCTCAAGGCGAATTACGGAAGCCAAATCAAGAAGTGATTAAGAGTAGTACATCTACAGAGAAAGAGCACAATTAGGGTTCTCGATGACGCCAAGAGTTAACCTCCAGAGAAGAAGAAATGAAGTGAAAGATTGAATTATGAGGAAGAGAGAAAAAGCTAACCCGCCAACAGATCGGTGCATGGCGTTGCTGAACACGGAGAGGCCAGAATTCATGGCTGCGAAGAAGCCGTAGCTCTGTTCCTTCTTTGGGCTACCCATTTCTCTCTCAGTCTCTGTGAAAGCTAAAAACCCTAATTTGAAAATTGCAAGATCAACACTACGAAAAACAGAGAAGCGTTTGCCACCAAATAAGAAGGAAATGAAGAAACTAGGAAGACAGAAGGCAAGAGAAAATACATAGGTGAGGGGTAGGGATTGTAATTTCAGATATCAAAGAGGACATGACGTGGAATTCGTTGGCGGTTAGTTTCTTGCGCTGGCGCGTGTGTTCTTCTGCTTTAATGACGTCCTGGCACGCGTTCATTATTATTTGAAACGTTTTCTTTTTATATTGAAAAAAGGAAATTCAAGAAGATGGAAGAGTTTAATTATTTTTTACCACAAAAAAGTTTAAATTATTTTTATTGATGGAGAGGAGTATTCGAATTGATTCTAAGGGCATCTGCATTGGTAAAGATCAATGCAATTTTATTGTATGAAATTGAACTAAAATAGTAAAATTTCACTTGTAATGATGTGATTTAGTTCATCGCAATAGTTGCAACTCCTTACAATAGAGGGTGCTATGTGATGAATCATCTATTGCAATTACAATAGGCTAACTATGGGACTTACATGCCAATTAAAAATAGAAAAAAAAATACAGCAATTGATGCATTATGCCACAAAAGCAATTAAAGATATCTCTCCCTCTTTTTTTATTTATTTAAAATTTAAAGAAAAAGAGATAATAATTATTGAAACATATAAAAGTACAAAGCCACAAAAGAGCCAAAATGGATATGACATCTCCAATGACCAAACACAACAATATGTTAATTTGATATGGAGAGAATTAAGTCTAAACCAACAAATACTCAACCCCTGATTCAACATCTTGAAGGACTTGTACTCAGACTAACAATACATCTTCACCACGCAACGTTAGAAATGATAGATCTATATTGCAAACAAAATACAACAAACTCCCAAAAAGTTCTTGAGAATTAAAATAAAAAGTGTAGTAAACTCCTAAAGAGTAATAGGCTTCAAACAAGAAACAGGAATACCGCTCCACATTTTCTCCAGCAACCGAAGAAATTCATAACTCCAAACACTTAACTGGAGCCAAAATCATGTATATGTGGGCCAAAAGCAGCAACTAAATCATGATGACAATGGTGTTTTGCAGTGTCTGCTTCCACATCACATACAAACCATCATTGCAACTGTTACTACCTCCACCGATGTCGACGCTGCTGCCTCTGTCGGGATAGATAACACCACTGGTAACTCTTATTACAGCTAAGCAAAAAACACCCAAACCAAAAAACCATGCAACCAAACTTGTAGCCATAAACAACACAAACCAAAAACAAAACCAAGATCCACGGGAAAGGAAAGTGAAGGAAAGAGGAGAAGGAAAAAAAAGGATACATAAAAATAGAGGGGTTGAGAGGGAAGAGAGAGGAGGAAGAAAGAGGTGAGATGGGGGGTTAGGGGAGTAGAGGGAGAGGCCACCCTTCTCCACCCTCCCTTGTGCGGTGCTTAAGGATGGGGTGCTAGGATTTTTTGGTTTATGAGAGGAGTCTCAAAAAAAGAAAGAAAGGAGGGATGAATATTTCAATGGTATAATTTTTAATTTTATTTAAATTTTCCATGTTATTTTTTTTGAGTATGTAAAAATAACATTGAAGTATATATAAATATTGTCACTAAAAAAATAAATAAAAATGATATGAAGCTATTCAACTGTAACATTGCAAGTAAAATTGCAGTTCAATTCAATAGATGCCAAAGTAGTTTAATTTATTGAACTATTAAACAACCATTGTGGATGCTCTTAGTAGCAATTCTCATGGAGCAAAAGATACATATGATCCAAAATTAATCTTATCTTTACTAACTTGGAATCAAAATGAGCACCTGATAAAAGATTACACGAACAATCACAAATATGGATAAAAAAATTCCGGTGTTCAATTGTTTTTATTTTTATTTTTTGTAAAGATGATATTCTAATGGGAATGATTTCCATTCCTAAGGAATCACTACCTTTTCCTAGTTGATCTTATTCCCATAGCATGTTTATCATATTTCATTTATTCCCATATCTAAACGCCATAACTAAGTTATGAAGAGAAATCAAACTTGGGTGGTGGGCACATTGCCATAACTAAGTGAACCAATCTATTCGATAGTGTTGCTAGGGTGGGTTTTTTTTTGTGTGTGTGGCATCAATGCTAGAGTGCATTTTGATTATTGTAATCCTTATTATTTCATGTGACATTAGTAAAATTTTCCCTTGACTTTATGGGAAAAATATATTTCAAAATACAAAAATGAAATTGGGCCGTCTAAGTCCGTTAAGTCCAAGCCCAGCAAAGGTCTTTTCTACTGCTTACAGTTGGGGAGAATCGCAGTCGTACTCGTATTGGTTGCGTTATGGTTTTGGTTTTTTGGAACAATTTGGACTCTGTGATCACGTGGGAAGCAAAAGAAGCAGCAGCAGTAATATATTTACAACACAATCAAATCTCAGACAAATCCAAATCGTCTCAGATCTACAGCGAAGCTCCTTCCGTTTTCTATAGAATAATTTACTGATATACTTTTCAAATTTAATTACTGTCAACCCTCTCTCTCTCTCCGCCCAATCCCAAAACCCTAACGAGCTCTGATCTTCACGCAAAAGCCACCTACCACATCACTCTGCAACTCCGGAAGCGCGCACACACTCAATTTAGTCAAGATTTGCGTCGATTGTTATTGTTTTGAATACAAATTTGTGATCCTTTAAAGCATGAAAGAAGGGAAATCAGTGAAATTGAACGGTCAACTGCAGCAGCAGCAGCAGCACCAGAACGGTCACTTGTCTCCGTTCAAATTCGCCAAGTTGTTGGATCCAGAAGCCTCATGGGACAAGGTACTTCACCTTCCCCTTATTTGATCACTGTGATTTGTTTGGTTGCCGAGAAAGTATAACAACAAATCTTGGGTTCCTTCCGATTCCTTGTTTCTTTGTTGGGTATATAATGTAGCAGTGGAAGTTGTAATGGGGTGTCGAGATTTTTGTAATTGAAAGGGAAATATTGAAGCAGAAACTGTTACGGTGACTTGGAAGCATCTGATTGGTTCATTAACTCTTTTTCTTCACTCATTTTATATTTTAGCTTAAGTTTTTTTTTTTATTGTCTTGATAGTTGTTTGGTAGTAATTTGGATTTACTTTGTGTATGTGTGTAGGATCAATTGGGAGATGTCTTGCATTGGATTCGACAAGCAATGGCCCTTGTATGTGGGCTACTATGGGGTGCGATACCGTTGGTCGGAGGCATATGGTTCATCATGTAAGTTGATGATTCGACACCTTCTTCATTGCTTGACATAGTTGCCATTTGCTTGAACCATCATCAGTTCATGTTTCTAATCACTAATCAGCTCATTTAACGAATCTTTGATGCAAATGCTATTACCTGGGTGTAAATTGTTATTGTATTTTTGTTGTCAAATTTCATAGGCTCAAAACCAGAATTTTTATGTGGCATAGCCTATAAGTTTTCTGTTTGAAGTCTTAGACCCAAAGAATACCACCTCAAGTTTTCATTTAAATAGTGGAGGAATTCGTTTGGTGCATTTCTTATGTGGTGAGTGAGTCAGAATCTGATTCTAGCTCAAAACAGAGATGAGGATTGGAATATTATATCCGGGCATGCACTTTAAGGAGCATCTTTAGAAGATATTTTAAAAGCTTGTCAAATAAGTTAACAGAAGAGTGTATTTAAATATAACTTGAAAAGAGAGTAGGCATAGTACTCAATCTCCTGTGGAAAGCAGGGCATTGTTGCAAGCCAATATTTGATAACCTAGAAACTTTAAGGTCTGTTTTAGAAAGTCAAAATAAAAGATGTGAATAAAAGAAGGAAAGCACCAAGCATTCCATTAGAAACTTTCCCCAATAGAATTATTATTGTTAAGATAATATTTAGAAATCAGTATTGAATGGACTTTAAAACTCGTTTGGGGATGCCCAGTCTTTGAATTGTCAAAGATATCAGAAATTATGCTGAAACTTATATTCTTTAGGTGCTACTTTCAAACCATAAAACAATTCATTCAAGATTCCTGTTGAATCATAAGGGCGTATAGCTTCAGTTACTTATCATTCTCTGGAATCTTAATAGTCTATATAAACACTGGTGGATTCTATTTTTGTAAAAAGTCTCTTTCCATACATATTAAAAGTGGAACTGATTAACTATTGAATTCTTACCTGCTTTGGGGATGTCTGAAGAAGGCACATGATGTCACATAGCAGTTACAGCTGCTACTGTATTGAAATAAAGGCTAGGAGAGTTACCTAATTAAACTAAGTTTTAAATTAAAAATCACATTGCTTGACATGGTCTTGACCCTAAGATGGATCATTCCTTGAATTGCTTCTGTAATATTGTAGTTCTCTAAGAGAAATGGATGCCTATACTTTAAAGGGAGTCGGTGCAGACAGTTTTCAATTACTGTTACCAACTTGATGGCTTTTTGCAGTCATGTTATCATACTATTTAGATTAATGTGGCAACTAGCGGCTGAGTTTCAGGCCAAGAGAAAAGAACTTATGCCTGATTTGGATGTCTTTGCTTCCTACCTACTGTTTTTAGAAGTATTATTTGATGGTTTTGTATTTTCATTAGCTATTGCTTCCAATGTCTTATAGCATTACTGTAAAATATTTTGTTCATCTCTAGTGGTGTGGACATTTTTTCACAGTTTTCTGGTCATATCTACTGGAATTATATATGGCTATTACGCAATGATACTAAATGTTGATGAAGAAGACTTTGGTGGCCACGGAGCTCTCCTCCAAGAGGGGCTTTTCGCTTCTATAACTCTTTTTCTGGTAATTTTACATCTTTTTATTGCCCTCTTTTCCTCTTGAGAAATCACCTTTTCATATAAATCAAGATTTATGGGGTTTCTTTTGGTCTTTGACCTTATACTCATTTCCTCTCTTTCTGTTTTGTAGCTTGCCTGGATTCTAGTATACAGCTTGGGACACTTCTGATTGGATATTTATTCAATTCCGCTATCATTTCTATCCCCAGTGGTGTTCAGCAATAGGACTTGGTTGCATGAAGAGTGATAACCTTGGATACGATTAAAGTTTCCTTAGAAGTTTGCTCGTTTCTTTATGGTTAACATTATGAATATGAGCATGAACATTCTAGCATCTTATTATGGTGAATGGATGTTTCAGTCAGTGTTCCTTCATAAACATCCACGCAATGTAGCAATGTATGGCCTGCAAAACTGATGATAATCAAAATTGTTTTTGGTAGCCTCTAATAAAATTACCTGCAAGCCTTATTCTTGTAGACTAGGCGCACAATAATTTTTGGCTGTCAAGCAAGATATTCTGTTTTCGCAATGCATAATTTAGGGTCCCAGGTGAATTTTTGAGTGTGACACCACATGAATGGAATGTATTACCAATTAATACCCTTCGTTTTAAAGGTTTACAGGATTTTTGAGCTTCCATTAACTGCAGCAAGTTGTGATGTAATGGTGCAAATGGAGTGTATTTCACTTTATGAATTGGATCAGTCATTTTCTGAATTGCTTCACAAATAGTATGTACGTGTAACACCATTTTGAAATTTGAAAGGCAGGCAGGCATGCATATGCCGTTGAATGCATATTTGGGTGTGAAATTTTGGGTCTTTCTTTTGAACATAGAGACTCGTACATGACCTTGTGCCCCAACTACAACCCTAATTGGATGTAGGGTAATGTTCTCTTATCAAATTATCTATCATGTCATAATGTTATTTCAGACTACACATCCAAATAAGATTTTAGCTAATCAATAATTCAGATTGACAATTTGACAACACAATATTTGAGATTGTACTCAAATAAACATTTCCATAATATAGAACTCTATACTTAACTGTCCAATGAAGAATCACAATAACTTGTAAGAAATACATTTCCTCGACATAGAGAGACAACCTATAGAAATGATCCTATTGAGGTAAGATTGAGCTAGTTTTATTACAATAAAATTTGGAAAAAGGAGGACAGGAAAGAATTGTCCTACTGTACATAAGTTTTGAAATGCATTTGTATTGGGATTTGGGAAACATATTATAGCCGTCTTTGCAATCTGCTTCTGCCTCGTGAAACCAGGTAGATACTGCCATATACCCATCTTCTACCTAGTGGTGAAATGGATTTCTGCACAAAAATTACTCCAACGTGAGGCAAAATACGTATTTTAAAAGATTATATTCTATCAAATAGCAACGGAACATGTAACTTTTGATCCTCCTATATTCATTCAGTAATCAGAGAGCCTACAATCATTTCATAAAGTTAAGAAAGAGGAAATGTGAACAGAGCAATGGTTTGACTTGAGCAGTTTTAACACCATAACAAGGGGAAGGTGACAATTTGCAAAAAAATGAGAAAGTGAGGCCATTTACAACAATAGCTCACAACACGTAAGATACGTAAACGTGATAAGAGCAATGCTATATATACCACATTGCTTACATAAGTGGGAAACGTGTCGATCATATTTCACTACAAAGGGTAGTTTAAAATCCAGTTCAACTACCTCTTACAGAACCCATTTCGTAATAAGGTTCTGGATGAGTAAATCACTGGTACTTCCTTTGGCATTGTAATATTTGCTTCTAGATCTTTATAAAATAAGAACAAATTTAAACACTGGGATTTTATGGTGTGTGTGTGTGAGAGAGAGAGAAGAAACTAAGTTACCTCAAACTTGGTACGGAACTCTAACAAGCATTCGCATACATGACAATTTGCTCTATGTGGGGAGTTATTAGACTGACTGGATTTCACAAACGCAAACACCTGCAGAGAGATGCTATCGAAATTCGTAAAAATGGATAAATCACAAATTAGAATTTAAAAAACAGCTATTAGAATTCTCAGGCTGATAAAATCTGTCATGATCAACTGACCTCCTCCCCACAATTTGGGCATGCCCCTTTTAGCGCCACCAAGTCATTCCTCCACAAGCCTTCAAGTACTTTAACTGTGAGAAAGACCACTTATAAAAACGATGACATTTGAATAAATCATAATAACACAGAAAAATTACACATTTTCCTAATGATGATTTTCAATTTCCTAGACTTAACATAGAGAGCTTACAAGAATTTGAGATTATATCCAATATTCCATTTGGAAGAAAAGAAAAAGAAAAAATGTCCCAAAATGATAGAAATTCTTAAAATACTTTAGAGGAGAATGGATGCAGTTTAACTTACCAGAAGCTGATGCAATTGGATAACCGATGACAGAACCCAATGCCATGAAGAGAATGGCATTTAGCATGGAAAAAGCAAACGCTTGGTTTATATAAGAAAATCCCGGGTTAAAAGCCTCTTGATAAGCTAGGCCGACAGTGTAAACCACGGGCACAAGACACGCTGAACTGCCAAAAGCAAGAAAGAGGATCCATATGCTTGCTAATGCAAAAACCTGTGATAAATCTTCCTGCCCTACATCCATGTCACTCAATATTCAGGCAGAGAAAGAAAGAAGAAACCAGTTTTCGTATTTAATAAATAACATAGTATAATAGATGGTAGCATTAAACACTGGTTTACAAACTAATGTGGCAGTCAATGATTGAGTTGCCTGTCCTATGAACACAGAACACAATGGCAATGCTAGCAATAGTCGTCCATGCATCAGTGGACGGTTGTCAACCATTGATGTATTTGGGTTCCACAGTGGGTCTCATGGACATACATCAATGCCGACAGTCGTCCAAACACGCGAGTGACTCAAAAAAAACGTTCAACTAAAATTCATAGAACTTATTAAAGAAATAGCACTACTGAAGATGGTGAAATACGAACACCCTGAATCCCATAACATATCACTAGCCAACAGATTTTACGCTTATTTAACCAAATGAGTGAGAAACCCAATTACCCAAGCATCATTTAGAGCACAGTTTCACCTCCATTTCCTCTATATTTTCTGGTTTCTAAGCAATAAGCTTAAATTTTGATATGGGTCTCACTGACAATCAGCACTGAAAAGGTCAATAAAAATCAATTACCTCAGCATCGGCATAAGTTGACTGTCGCCTCAGACTGCAACGAGGGTATTTCACAACGCATTTCGATCCATACCATCTTAGCTTCAGCTGTTTTCCAATCAGTTGTAAGATTTGCATACAAATTCCGGAAATGAAAACATGGTTTAAAGATTTTGCTATGAACTTATAAGTGCAACATACCTCTACTCTATCAAACATATCATCAACTATCAAAGGGTCACCACTGTAATACGCATCACGTGCCTGCCACATGTACCAACCCAATTTGACATTTTTCATTCAAAAAGAAATGATCTTTATTTTTACTGAAGAACAAAGAGGAGAGAGAGAAGGCTTACTTGACGGTAGAGGGCTTCAAGGGTTTCTTTGCTGGCGGTTTCAATTGGGCCGACGTAGATACAGTATGGGCCCTCGGCGAGCTCATCGCGAGTCGTTGGAGAGTTACTGCTCGAAGAGATTCGAACGGAAAATGGAGCTCCGTTTCTAGGGTTTCTGGAAAATTCGGGTACTGTGGACCCGATTATGTGCGCAGTGAAGGAAGAGCTCGCGGCCGCCATGAAACTCAAGTGTGAAGGGTAAAGCTCAAGTAAGCGGTTAGGAGACACCAAGAGAGAGAGTGTGTTTCGTCCACGGAAATGGTTTTGGCGCGTAAATATCTGTTTGGTTGATTGGTTGTGGTTTAAGGTCAGACCGGAGGAAGACAATAACACGATTACCTATCTTCCTCAGAATATCAGGAGACATGCGACGTCGTTTTCACACAAGAAAACAACAAATTAAAATTTTAAAATGTAAAATTGTTTGCGTCAGAATGAGGAAGAGTAACATGATTACCTCTCTCTTCCTCAGAATATCAGGAGACATCCGACGTCGTTTTCACACAAGAAAATAACAAATTAAAATTTTAAAATGTAAAATTGTTTGCGTCTGCCGGGAGTCGAACCCGGGTCTATTGCTTGGAAGGCAATTATCCTAACCGTTGGACTACAAACGCTGTCTTGTGAGTGTCATTTCAGAAACAATATATTAACAGTGTGTATTGTTACACCTTATATAAAGAATCTTACGTACTCTGAATTTGGCTGTTGAGAAAAAAACTTAATGATATTGTTATTGAGATGGACTCTGATACTGCTGTGCTTCTTTTCCAGAGTAAGGTTTTGAATGTTTGTCATCCTAATGCTGGGTTGGTCAGCAGTTGTAAAAGACTTTTGAGCCTGTTTCGAAGGATCAAGCTTTAACATATCTATAGAGAAAGGAATGATGTAGCTGATGGGTTAGCTAGTTGGAGTCACAATCTGGACCTGGGCTGTTACTATTTTGAGGAGAGTCCTGCCTACCTTGGTTGTTTATTACTTAATGATTCTCTGGGAGCTGTTAAGGCTCGTCTGATTAGTAGTAGTTAGTTGTTGTGTTGGTGTTTGGGGGTTTTCCCCCTTTTTCTTCATAAAAAAAACAAAAGAATCTTACAGCACTCATCTTGTGAATCTTACCTTAAACCGAGAATATACTTTATGTCCTCTACACTCACGTGATGAGTGTTATAGATACAAGAGGTAATACTCTCGGTGACACAACAGATTCTCTCATTATCTATAGTGTGTTTTTGGTATATTCTATAATAGTCAAGATAATAGTTTGGATGAAATGGTCATCAATGACCATGAAAATCCATTAGATCAAATCATGGATCTGAATATCATGTATGGTCACAGGTAATCATGTGATCAATGATAATTAGGATCCTTCCCTTATAAGGACTTCGCAAAATGATTCCATCAATGGAGGGTAAACAATAATGAGAATTTCAAAGTTGAAGCCCACACCAATAATTTTGTGAGAGAGAAGAAATGCCCTACAAAAGAAAGGAACAGAAAAAGTCTGTTTGCATAGAACAACAAACTAGTTTACCTTTTTACTTTTTCTTTGTCTACAACTACAAATTAATCCTGCATCTTTTTCCTGCTGTCTAAGGCATTTACATTTTACCCCTTTCAAAGAAAAGATCCCATTCATGTTCCTCCACTGTCCCAAACAGATTGTATTTCCAGCTCACTTTTTCGGCATAATCAAAACTTGTGTTCTTCCCCTCTCTCATGTCCCTCCTGATTGTGTCTACTCTTTCAAGAACCCCATTAATTACAATATCAAATGCATCCTCAAGAGTCTCTAATCTAGAACTTGGGTCTGCATATATCACTTTCGGTATCAGTTTTATAACGCCTTCTCTCATTTCCACAACTTTTTGTCTTGGAATTCTTTGCAGGATGCTCTCAATGCTGACTCTCCCATTCTTTATGTCAAATGCCGGTATAAACACTGAGTATTTTTTGTAGTCTCTTGGTAAATGCCACAGATATTGGACGTAGGCTGAACCGGGATGAAAGAACACCGGAATACAACCAGCCAGAATTGAATCGAAAATTGATCTCCTAGTTAAAGAATCACCAGGAGGCTGTAAGCAGAACACAGAACCTTGAAACATTTTCATCACAAACACCGGCTTGTGGCACTTGTCTGGACCAGAAGTGCATTCTAGCAACTTGCATTTCCTCCTTGCAGCCCTACACTGGTCAATGATTTCGTTTCGGATTGAGCTTTGAAGATTAGGCCTGGGGCCACCAGCAAATGAGAACAGTATGCGCCTTCTCTGCCTCCTCATTCTGTTCTGCCATTGAAACACCTCATTGTCCTTTGAAGGGTGAAAATATGTTGGATATGGTATGGCAAAATCATTACTATTCCAAGGGCTTGATTCAATTGTCAACATGGTCATGTTCTTTGATTCAGGTAAGAGCATGAGCTTGTTACCCCACTCCGAATCAGTGTCGGTCCATCTCCTAAAATCCCAAGTAATTCTTCCTGCCACCATAAAATGATCTCTACCCCACATTTTGTTCCACTCTGGCTTTTCTCTCAGCCACTTGACAATTTCAAGTGAACCAGAATCTCTCATAGACATGTTGGAACCCCAGAGGTACCGCGCCACGTCTAGGCCGGCATAGTAAGGTACAAAGATTGCTGAAGCTTGGGATGAGTCTTTTGTCAAACAGTTGTATTGCTTCATTCTGTTGTGGAATATGACCTCTAACAGGAACTGGTTTGTAGAAAACCAACCAGTATTTGAGTAGACTCTCTCGAAATTGGGAAGATGGGGGCCAAGACCAGAGTTCGATGCAAAATCACACATATTAGTCCAATTGCTAAGTGAACCACATTTCTGCAGCAAGTCCTTGTAAAATTTGCTAGGGATGTCATGGACATAAATGTATTTACCTAAGCATGAATCAGATTTAGATTTAATCCTTTGATCTATATATTTCTCTGGATCAACAGCCTCAACCAAATTCTTATCAGATTGAGCTTCATTCTCAATAAGATCACGTGCCTGATCATTATGGTCATGAGGCTCTAATTCCTTCTTAGAAATCGAATGCTGCCCGAAATTTTCAATGCCATGTTCTTGAATACCGAAAACATCTTTGGTTCTCAAATTAAAATCCCCACTTCGGTCATTGAAAACAACATTAATATGATGGCCTTCATCTCTCAATTTGGTGCTACTACTTTCAGTAATTTCTTTAGGCAAAGAAACAGAATCAACAGAACCAGAATATTTGGCGACATTGACAGCAATGTCAGGGTTGTGATTGCCTAACAGGGCAATCAGGTTCTTCCCCACCATGAATTGTGAGTGATATACGCAAAGCAATAAAAACCACAATAAAAATGAGGCACATACAAACCAGGATTGGTTGCGGCATGCTGCAATCGTCATGAAAGGCCTTCCCATATTGTCACGAAAGGCCCTCATTCGCAACCTTCTTCGATTAATCGTCGTAATTGTCTCCTTGTGTTAAATCTTGGATCAATGAGAATTAGAAAAGCTCAATGCAACACGTGACAGAGCAAATAAATGGAACCAACCCATGTTGCTTTGAAGAAAACCCAAGAGAAAAATCAGAACATTTAATCTTGCTTGTGATTGAAGAAGATGAACATGTTTATTATGGAATCAGAGGCACGAAATTAAAATACATGGGATTGGAAAAGGTATTGCATGGGTTGCTGGAGAAGCAATTAGAACGAGATCAAATGGAGGAAGTTGTTAAGGGTTCGTTTGTTATCCTATTCGGGTCCAATTTTATAAACTCAAATAGAGCCTAAGCAATTCAAAAGCAACTTTGTAACATTCTAAATATTACCTTTTTTTTGGGTCGAATTCTAAATGTTACCTTGCTATGCTATGCTATGTATCTGTTTGGAGAATCACAATCAGTTTCAGTAGCAAGAGCTTAAATTACTGGCCGTTGGATCAGAACCTTGAGTTGGTAGGAACATCAATCTAGAATCTACAATGCATACATTAATTTTTTTTATTTGATCAATACTTAGTATTTTTTACTTTCTATCGGATCAGAATTGGCCGAAATCGAAATTTTCCATCCCAACTTCCTCACTACTTGATATGGAATTTGAATTGGAAGTTGAAAGAGAGGTGTTTTGGGAAGTGAGGTATTCTCTTGTACTTCCCAAACCCAATAATTGAGGTGATATCAAAACAGTGCTATATCTGTATGCAAGTTTTTCTCTTTCGTAGGACCATTAAGGTATCATTAATTATGTATATCCCGTCTATATATATCTTTGTACGACCTATGCATAGGTCTTGAACAAAAGAATTGCCATTTGATTTCTATACATTTTGTTTTACAATGAAAATTAGACTAATATTCCGTCCAAAACTTGATGATGTTATCTAAATTTATTCAACTTACCATAAAATTGACAATGTAAAGAAATTGACTGGAACCAGTATATGCCATGAAGATTAATCCAAATTCATCCAACCACCATGTGTAATATTGGCTAGCAGTTCTGTTTTGTTCTTAAGCCTGCAGATATATTTAATTTCAAGTGTCAAGGATACATGCATGTCTTAATCTCCAGGCAAAAACAAACAACAAAATGATAGGCTATTAGGCTAGCTCAAGCCTTGGGAATTTGCTAAGTAATGGCGTGATGGGAAGGTTTTGCACATTATGGTAACCTTTTCCATTATTCAATCTCATTAATTATTTTTAATTATATTTTATTTAAATGGATACCATTTTTTTCTTAGTTTAAATTATTTATAAATAATCCATAAAATCGACAAATATTAGCACAGGACAATACACACAATTACAATACACGCAATACTCTGCAGCACACGACAATGCACACAATTACAGAACTGGCGGTGTAAATTAACAAACAAAGAAAATCAAAGAACAAAGAAAAAAGGTAAAAGTTTGGCCAAAAAAAAAAACCAGAAAAGAGAAAAGGTAAAAAGGAAGAAGCAAACACCTGGTGCAAATGTCACGTCAGTGATAATTGAAAGCGGCAACAAACAGAGCAACAGTCTCTGTCATATCCAAAATCTTAAAACCAAAGCTAAAACGTTTGTTGTGACTTGTGGGAGCAAACCAACTCAACCATAAAGCATTCACATTCCCTTCCAAACCAAGAAACATAAAAGCACAACCCAAAAGAGAAAAGGAAAGAAACGAAGAAGAAAATATTCAAAACCCATTTCCTTCCAAGTTTGTCCTACATTTTGATCTCTTCGAGATCATAATCGAATCAAAAACCCAAATGGGATTTCTGGGTTTGCATCAAAATCTATGATTAAGGAGGAAAAAAAGAAAAAAGGTGAGATTTTTATGGAGAGGGACCAATCTGCTGCGGCGAGCAACTTGGAGATAAAGGTGGTCCGTCCACGGCGGAATGACAACGTGGTGCACCCGGCGGGCCAAGCTCCGAGGACGACGCGAAGGCGGTCGTACAGCAGCAACTACAACCCGTTCAAGAGGTGGGTCTCGTGGCTGGTCCCGTCCTTTGTGGTGGCCAACATTGTCGTTTTTGTGGTCACCATGTTCGTGAACGATTGCCCCAAGAACTCGGCCTCTTGCATTGCTCGCTTCTTGGGCCGCCTCTCTTTTCAGCCCCTCAAAGAAAACCCACTTCTTGGGCCATCTTCAGCCACGTAAAGCTTCTCACTTTTTTCAGTATCTCTTTTAAAATATGTTGGTATTTGCAGTTCGGTATGCAATGTGTGTTTTGGAATTTATTTTAAAGAGTTATGTGAATGCATAATTGGGTGTTTGCATGTGGGAACTTTGAAAGTTTTAGTTGTTGATGGGTATTTGGTGAATTTATGAGGAAGAGGAAGTGGAATTGGTTTTGATATGAAATCAGAATGGGATAAATTTACCTTGAAACCATGAAAGTTTGGAGTTTATGTTGTTATTACAAATGTTTTGGTGAAACATTTGCTTTGAGATTTGGTATTTTGGATGTATAGATACATTTTTGAACTGTATGAAAGCTTGGTGTATGCTTGAACAAAGAAAAAAAGGTATTAGAAAAGCTGCAAGTATAGAGTCTTCTTTGTCAGTATGTAGTGAACTACCCCTTGATTTGATTGTTGAGTTTCTTTGTAATATGTTACAAACTTTTTACATTATTGTATTTTTTTAACAACTTAGTTTCAAAGTTTTTATTTGACTTTCCTTGCTCTGTGAGGCCAATGACAGAATGATTATGATAAAATGGATGTATTTTGCCTTCATCTCTCTTGTAAGAGGGGTATGCATTCTTCGAGGATTGGGAGTGATTCTTCTTAAGCTGTTTAATGCGCTAATTCTAATATGCGCCATCCTAAGTCTATTAACTGCTAAAAGTAGCACTTTCTATCTTCTGTGGGTCAACAGGTCTTAGTTGTATCCACAAGAAAAATATGCACATCTAACTTCTTTCCCATGTTTTTTTCATCCTTCAGATTAGAAAAGATGGGTGCTCTAGACGTGCAGAGAATGGTTCATAAACACCAGGCATGGCGGATGATCTCATGTATGTGGTTACATGCTGGAGTTTTCCATCTACTGGCCAATATGCTGAGTCTTGTATTCATTGGTATTCGGCTTGAGCAAGAATTTGGATTTGGTATGCATTTGGCTTTTCAGCTTCATGCATGTTGTCATGGATGTTTAGCCACATTCACAAGTGTTTGTAGTAAAATCGAAAACACATGACAGATATTACAAGAGAAATATTAGTTACTAAATGAATTTGTTTTTTCAGAACTCTAGAAGCAGCTACCTTGAGATTAATCTGCAGAGGATTCCTATGCATGAATTCATTGAATTGTTATCCTAGAGTAGTGGTCATGCAGTGCTGGTTGCATTATAACTTACATCAGTATGTTGATAGGTTTGCATGGAAATAAGAGGAAGTTTTATTCAGCAGTGAGGTGAGCAAAGAGAGTTGATAAACCTAAGATGGGGTTCAGGAGAAACATTCTTATGATATTGGCTTTTTAGGCTATTCAAACTTTAGTTTAGACATAGTATTCCATTTTACAGAATAAAATTGCTTGATACAAAAACTGAGAGGTTGTTTCGATTTTTCCATCACTTATGTGGGAACATGGAATGTTTTGACTATCCTGTAGGGTAGACACAGTGCCTCAATTTTTTGAAATATTTCAAGATGCCGCCTATTTGGAAAAATTGAAAGAAAAGAAAGTTGGAGCTGGGTAATTGAATAGAAGAAGATGGAAAATAATCTAACTCATGCACAATTATTTTAATGAACAACAGTTTTAACTTTTCAGTTTGAAAATCTAATGCTTTTTTCTGATTTGTTCTTCTACAGTTCGAATTGGTTTGCTTTATGTCCTGTCTGGTTTTGGCGGTAGTTTGCTTTCATCTCTTTTTATTCAATATGGTATTTCTGTTGGTGCTTCTGGTGCACTTTTTGGTCTACTAGGAAGCATGCTATCAGAGATCATAGCAAATTGGACAATGTATGAAAATAAGGTAAATAATGTTTCAGTATGCTCAATGATTCCCTTCATAGGATATGCACTACCCTTTGATCTTACAGTTCAGATTTTTATGCGCAGTTAGCAGCATTGCTTACTCTCATTGTCATCGTCATAGTAAATTTAGCAGTGGGAATCCTCCCACACGTGGACAACTTTGCTCATATTGGAGGATTTCTTTCTGGATTTCTTCTTGGATTTGTGTTTTTGATCCGCCCCCAATTTAAATGGCTTACCCAAAGGAATGCTCCTCCTGGGCATGTTTCAACTCCAGTTAAATCTAAACACAAGACATATCAATATGTATTGTGGGTTCTCGCTCTGATAATATTGATTGTTGGGTAAGGTCCTCCTTGATCCCTGAAATTCAATTATTTGACTTCATATACCTAATTGATTCCCTACATGAGAATTTGAAAGGCACACTTGATGAGTGGATGTTTACAATTAAATCAGGGTACTTGATTTCATAGAGATATGTAATGTCCTGTAATCTGTGTTCATCACTGTCACTGTTGATAATCTCTATATCTGCTTGTTTTCTGTATGTGTAATACTGATTGGTCACTTTGATGATAGTAATATATAGTAGTGGGTTCGTCTTCTTTGTTGTTTTGTTATTGGAAATGGAAATTCATTTTCATCAGTATATGCGGGCATTTTGTCACACAAGTCTTATGTTTTTTTTACAGGTTTACTATTGGCATGGTTACTCTCCTTCGAGGGGTCAATCTGAATGATTACTGTTCCTGGTGTCATTATTTGAGCTGTGTCCCTACCTCAAAATGGAGCTGCAAGTCACAACAAATTTATTGTTTGGTAATTGATGCTGTACTTTTCTGTGCATATTAACTTCCACCTTTGTATTTGACAGATAGAAGTAATTGGTTCTTTATATGATGTGCCAACATAGTGGTAAATAGAAGAGAAATAGTAGACCAGACAGCTGTTTTAGTGCTAGTAAATATATCCTTATATCTTCCCTTCTTTCCCTTGTGGAGTTTTATATGGTTGCACTCAATACTTCAGTCTCAATATGCCATTTTAAGCTAATGTCATCGAGAAACTTAGTTTAAGAAATGAACTCAAGAAATACTAAAGAGTTCTCAGCTCTCGTGTCTGCTTCACTAAAATTATGATGAGATATGTGGGCTCCATGTAGCCAAACTGCATTTCTCTCAATGTGACTTTTTGTTATACTCCATGATCCATTATGAGTTTTTAAATTGTTTTCTGAATTGAGTTTTTGAGGGTACTGAATTGGAGATCACCTAAATAATTGAAAAGCAGGACATATCAGAGAGAGGGAGAGATTATATATAGAGAGCAGGAAAATTACTTATATACTAACTTGTTAGATTGGTTTTGTACTGATATATTGTTCTGTATATGCATGCGTGCAACAAACCTTGCAGTCCAGCCAGTTAGGAAATCAGCTGAACTTGACATGCGTAAGCAACGGGAGAAATGGCACTTATTCATTGCTGGATGGCAACCCCACCCGGGCTCAACAGCTATGCGCTGAGCTTTGCAGTTGACATACATGCACACAGCAAGAGATGATAGAATGTTGATTGATATGAGTCATTCATATATCTGTAGAGAATATTTCTTTTTCTTTTTTTTTGGTTGGGTAAGAGTAGTCTTGTATTCACCAAGTAATGGTTATTCTTTTCATTCTTTTATTGCTTCTGTACTCTTATTTTTACTAGCTGAAAAAGAGGGTTTGTAAATACAGATAGGGATGTACTTATTGATGGCAACTTGAAGTGAAAACAGCCGGTTGCTATTTTGTGCTACTTTCTCCCTTTTCCACCTCTGGCAATTTAAAAAGACAAAAAACAAAAAACATTACTGGACTTCAAGTTAGAACAAGCCCATGGGCCATGGCCCAAGAATGTAGATCTACTCTAAGAAGATTGTAGATGAAAACTTAATTAATGTAGTCCCCTTACAAGTGTTATTGTTAATGAAAAAACTGTAAAACTTTATATTAAAAAAAAAAACAAACAGATTCTTTATCTATCAATTGTTAATCTCGAGTGCAATAATAGTTGGATCCATGATTTTTTGTTATGATACCGAGTTTTAATGTTATGTTTAGTGTTTAAGATGGGATTATGAATTTATGAGGTACAATTGGGAATATTAGGGCAAAGGGTCACAAAGCTGAACCTGCAATCTCAAGACCTGGTAGGGTCCCTATCTCCAAACATAGGAAATCTAAGTTTCCTAAGGGAACTAGAACTACAAAACAACAACTTCAGCAATAAAATCCCTCCAGAAATTGGGAATTTGCGTAGATTGCAGGTACTATCTCTACACAACAACTCATTTAGTGGCCCTATTCCATACAACATATCATATTGCTCCAACCTCATCTCCATGAATTTCGGTTTCAACGGGTTGGTGGGTAACCTTTCCCCTCTGGAGCCAATTCCCTCATCTATGATTGGGTTGAAAGCCTTAAAAGAATTAGACCTTTCTCACAACAATTTGTGGTGTGAAATTCCAAAATTTCTAGAGCGTTTTGTCTTATTGAAGAAACTAGACCTATCTTTCAATAACTTTTGGGGAGCAGTACCAACTGGAGGTGCTTTTGAAAATGCAAGAGTGATTTTAATTACTGGCAACCCCATGCTCTGTGGCGGAATTGCTAATCTCCAACTGCCCAAGTGCGAGTCCCCGAAGGGAGGATCATCTCGTAGCTTGATAATCCGTTTAGTACTCTCTGGACTTGCTCTTCTCGGAATTGCTATGGAGATGTACTATTTCTTTCTTTGTTCGTCGAAAAAGAAGAGGAAAGAAATTCCATTGAGCACATTGCCGAACTCTCTTGTGCAAGTGTCATATGCTACTCTCCTAAAAGCTACTGATGAGTTCTCTTCCGCTAATCGGATTGGTGCAGGCAGTTTTGGGTCTGTGTACAGAGGAGTTCTTTATGATGATGGTAAAGCCCAGCTTGTTGCTGTGAAGGTGTTCAACTTGTTGCGGCATGGAGCATCAAAGAGTTTCATATCCGAATGTGAGGCTTTAAGAAACATCAGGCATCGAAATCTTGTCAAGATTATAACTGCATGTTCAAGTGTTGATTTTCATGGTCATGATTTCAAGGCTCTGGTTTACGAGTACATGGAGAGAGGAAGCTTAGAGGAGTGGCTGCATCCTCCTACTGAAATTGAAGAGGTAAGAGAGGCACTCAATCTAGAGCAAAGACTAGACATTGCCATTGATGTTGCTTGTGCATTGGATTATCTTCATAATAATTGTGAAACACCGATAGTTCATTGTGATCTCAAGCCAAGCAATGTTCTTTTGGATAACGAGATGACTGGACATGTTTCTGACTTTGGACTCGCAAGATTTCTCTCCCAAAAAACTGGTACCAATGCTTCAGAAAATCAAACAAGTTCCATTGGAATAAAAGGAACAGTTGGTTATGCTGCTCCAGGTAAGTGGTGTCCTTTTTTTCTTTTTAAATCTTACGAAGTTTAGCTATTTTACTAACAATTGTGCTGATAATATCTTATGATGTTTCAATGGTAGAGTACGGTATGGGAAGTGAGGTGTCAACAAATGGAGAAGTCTACAGCTTTGGTATTCTTATGTTAGAGATGTTCACAGGAAAGCGACCCACCGACGACATGTTTTATGGGGACCTAAACCTTCATACTTTTGTCAAAATGGCTTTCCCTGAGCGAGTTATGGAGATTGCAGATTCAACACTTTTTGAAGGAGGCATTAACGAGAGAAGGGTTCGAAAGATTGAGGTGTGCTTGAATTCAATTTTTAGAGTTGGAATTGAATGCTCTGCTGAATCACCAACGGACCGTCTGAAGAATATCAGTGATGCTGCATCTCAACTGCATTTCATTAGAGATGTTCTTCTTGGCACTACTAAAAAACTGGGCTAAAAGCACAAATTCCATTCATGCTTTTATGTTAAATAACACGGATATTCGTGATCTATAAAGCTGGCCACTTTAAAGTTGTTGATGCTCTTTATAGGAGTTTCCATTGATTATAGAGCACAAATGTATTATTTCATGGCAGAAATTTAGATCACGAATGAAACATTTGTGCTTATATAGAAGATGGCCCCCACCAAAACTCCACCTTTTGACAGTAGCTCTTTGAGAATACGAAAATAATAATATATTTTTATTTAATATGGACACAAATTTCTCTAAATGTGGCTAAAATGCAAATTAAAAAAAAATGAAAATAAACTGAGATACCAAAAACAAATAAATTTTGTTACAATAATTCTTTTGTACAACTTTGACTTGAGTATCTCCTTATTTTACTAATTTGCATTACTACCCACATAATTTGCAACAAAGTCCCTCCTGACAATAGCATCCTCCAATCTCCAGATATGCTTTCTTCTTCCTATTCCCACATCTTCTTCATCTTCCTCTTTCAAAATTGCACACAATCAGATTCAGTGAAAAAAATTTGAAGATGCCCAAAAATTACCATAAATCAAATGAAAGAAAATTTAATTGATATAGAAATACTGAGTATAACAAAAAATTCTCAAAGAAATAGCAGAGTGAGGAATTTAACAGTTCTATTTCTTGGCATAATTAGGGATTGTTGATGAACCGAGTGTGTGTGTGTGTGTGTGTTTTCTCTGCCCCTAATCCAACTTCATTGGCTAAAAAGGCCATTCATTGTTGATGAACCGAGTACAGTGGTGAAAAAGGCAACAGCTAGAGGCAACATCTAAGATTTATAGACATTGAGTTCAATAACTACCACACAAGGTACTTCAATGGCTAAAAAGGCCATTCACTGTTTTAGCTAATTAATGTTTTTGGCTCTTTGGCTTTACATTGTAGTTTTTGGGTATCCTTGGGAAACCTTTCGTCTCTCAAGGTACTTGCTGCATTTGCAAATAACTTGGTGGGAAGCATCCCTATTTCCCGCATTTTTTTTATTTATAAAACTGCGCTGGCCAAAACGACGTCGTTTTGATCCAGGTTTTTTTAAAAAAAAAGGAGAACAGATTGTATATACACAGACGCTCCATCTCTCCCGAGTTTTCAACTCCAAAGCCCCTATTTTCTAAACCCTCAAACCTAAATCCCCAATCTCCACCCCTCCCCCCCCAAAAAACCTTTAACCCTCTCCTCCACCAAGCCTTTAAGCCCCAACTCCTCCATTGCCGCCTTTTACACTATGACCCTACGACATAAAATTCCTGGGTCCGTCCCTGCTGGCATTAGTAAGAAACACCATGCTAGCAATCGTGTAGACTTGACTTAAGCTTAGATATGTTAATGTCATCAAAGTTGTTCAAAAGTTTTTTATATGTACATTTAAATGTACTGTTGCTGGGGCTGTTTCCACTCAGCTTCCTGGGGTCAATTTTGTAATTGTCATTTTAATAACCATACAAGTACAACAAATAGTGGTTGCGAGAACAGTTTTCCTCGAAGGAAGAGGAAATGAGGTCGTCTCAATTTGGAAAAGCAAGTCAACATTTCCGTAGATTCCACGTTTTACGTTTAGATAAACCCCCATCAGATTCCAATCCAATGACAGCGTCTGCGTGATTTATGTCTAAAGCCTATATCGATATTAGATGGAAAGGAAAAGCATGCGCATCCCTTTTTTCCAAAAAAAAAAAGTATTCTTTTTTAGCTAGTCCAATCAAAAGCTTTTCTTCTTTTTTATTCCTATAGCTGAAGACACGCGCATGCATGATGTCTCCCACTTCTTTTTTAATTTATTCTTTATGCCCTTTTGTTCTTTCGTTGCTGTTTCTGGTCCACTTTTTCTTCTGTATTTTTTTTTCATCTCAAATTCCCTTTGGTCTGCTGTGTTTCATTTCCTCCTCTTCGTTGTAGTTTCCTGGCGTTTGTGTTGGCAAGGGGCAGAAAGTCAATTGGAGTAGGAGTTCTTGTTCTTTGCCTCAAGTTGAAGAAAAATGCTCAAACTTCAAGTTTTATTGTTTTTTGTTCATTAGTTAAATTATTGATTTTATATGTAGTGAAGGAAGTTGGGGTTCCACCCTAAAACCAATTGACAATGTGGGAAGTAGCCTAACTCCTTATAAACCCAGGCTAGATCCCTTAACATTTCAATGTGGGACAAACACTCTCAACACTCCCCGTGGCGAACTTTCAAGCCTAACACTTGGACAACACATATTGGGTGACGTGAGAGCACATGTGACCGTTGGGCCTAACAAGTGGAGCCTTACTTTGATATCATGAAGGAAGTTTGGAAAGCGGGGTAAAATGGATCATTTTAAATTTGGGAAGGAAAAGTGAGATTGAACAGTAATTTCAGGGGGTATTTGTGTAAATAAGTCTTTTAAATATATTAAAATTGCACCCTTGGATCGGATGTCTTCAAACTTATTCTAATTTGGACTATAAGGGGTAGAGTACGAATTTGTACTCGATACAAACACCTAGAAAATACAACATTCAAAGGATCATCATGACATGAATTATTTGGGAAAATCTCAAGATCTAGTTCACAATCAATGTAATACAGATTTAGTACGTGTTCGTACGTGCCACATAAAAGTCGCATCACTTTAGCTCTCTTACTCTATAATAATGACAAAAATCACTTCACCTCTCTTGCTTTAGCCGTGTATTTATAGGCTCTTTATGGGTTAAAGTTTATAGAGAATAATCCTTATTTGATTAGGATTATTCGTACCCAAAAGATATTAGGAATTAAAAGTCAGGTTTTGGTTACCTACCTTGTGACTTATGGAGCCATTACTGTGTTGTGATTGTGTTATCTTCTTGTCAATCGTAATTAAGAGTCCCCACCAGCTTCAATAAGTCAAGAAGTCGTCTTCCTTTCCGCATGCAAGTCAACCGTGGCAGATTCTTAGAGTATGTAATTTCTTTGCAATTTGTAACTTCACACTCGTTGCCAGTTCGAAAGCAAGTCAAGTCGTCTTTGGAAAAGACAGTACTTGGTTAAGCTCTTTACTCTAGAACGTATTTAAATTTTCAACAACTAGAAGCCTGTTCGGTTTTTGATTTTGAAGCGGAATCTTTTCTTCTTATTTTTTTGAATTTTTTTTGTTACAAAATCCAACTAAAATTTTATTTTTATAGCTTTAAAAATCACAAATGACCCAATTTTATACAAAGGGAGATGATTGTGCCTAGAAAAGAGAGGTGATTTGAAGTTGGGCTTAGGAAAATATTAGTTATGGGTTAAATATTTTATTAAAAATTAAAAAATACACGACCGGCTCAATTCGGTTTGGTCCAAATTTTTCACTACAAAAACCAAAACTGAACCAATCTGGTCCAGTCCATTTTTGGTCAGCTTGGTCCAATTTCTATCTTTCATATCCGACCCATTAGAGTCAAAGACCCTTATCCTTGGATTTTTTTGGGTTTGTTTATAGAAATTCAATGGTGTAGGGTTTATCTATAATATTAGTGCTAAGAATTGGTATATTACTAAATATCTCAATTAAAAATCAGGACATATATTTACAGAGAGATTTATTAATTATATTTTGATCTCACCCAGGATACTTATTATTATTCTTTTCATCTTTTTTATACAGCCTTAGGTCATATTCACAGGTTATCATCAGATATGTATTCGTATTTTCATAAAGTCCATGGTGTATTATGACCTGTGAGAAGAAAACAAATTGTATAACACAATAGTTTTCGTTCAATAACAATCCACTGAATTGAATTCAAGCAAACCAACGTATGATTGGTGCCAGAAGAAATTAACCACTGGCCTTTATCAACTACGTGTTTCTTCCACCACACGTTGGTCGAAATGTATTGTTGCTGAGGCTGTTTCCAACTCAGCTTCCTGGGGTCAATTTTGTAATTGTAAATTTTAACAATAGTTGCGAGAACAGTTTTCCTCGAAGGAAGAGGAAATGAGGTCGTCTCAATTTGATAAAGCAAGTCAGCAAGGATTAATTTGGCTAATTCTTTGCAATTGACTAATGGAAAGCAAGTCAACCGTGGCTGATCGTAATGACCGGGACTTGGTTAAGTACATTACTCAATCTTATTTATAAACCAGTTTGCCATGCCTTCATAATCAAACAAAAAATTCAGAATGGGGGTTTTGGTTATGAAACTGATTTTATTAATATACTCACTTGTGAATGGAGCATTGTTCGTTTGCTCCATGCATTTGAGAATGGGAGGCAACGAGACTGATAGGCTTGCACTGCTAGCCATCAAAGCTCAAATAACGCAAGATCCTCATAATGTAACGAGCTCCTGGAATGAATCCATTCACTTTTGCTCGTGGCACGGTGTCTCCTGCGGTCGACGCCATCGCAAGAGGGTCACAAGGCTAGACCTCCAATCTCAAAAGCTGGCAGGGTCCCTATCCCCACACATAGGAAATCTAAGTTTCCTAAGGGAGCTAAAACTACAAAACAACAGCTTCAGCAATAAAATCCCACCAGAAATTGGGCATTTGCGTAGATTACAGGTATTACGTCTAAACAACAACTCATTTAGTGGCCCTATTCCATACAACATATCATATTGCTCCAACCTCATCATCATGAATTTCGGTTTCAACGGGTTGGTGGGTAAAATTCCATTTGAATTTGGCTCCTTGTCGAAGCTTCGAAGATTTGTTTTACAAATGAATAATTTAACAGGAGAGATTCCTCCTTCCTTGGGAAACCTTTCGTCTCTCGAGGTATTCGCTGCATTACTAAATAACTTGGTGGGAAGCATCCCTACTTCTCTAGGCCAATTGAAAAACTTAACATTTTTGTCATTGGGCTTAAACAACTTATCTGGTACCATTCCTCCCTCCATCTATAACCTCTCTGCTCTTTATGCTTTTGGCGTGGAAGTTAACCAAATTCAAGGGCGGATTCCATCAGACTTGGGAAAAACTCTTCCTAATCTCCAATTCTTTACCATTGGTTTGAACC